CTGCAGGGGCAATCACTGCCTTCCATCAATACGAAGACTCATCTGAATAGTAATGTCTTTAAGAGTAATAATACACTCTCTAAGAGACAAATGAAATGTATAGGTCTCTGACCTCCATCTTTCTACCAAAGTTGTAATCAACTGACAATCAACAGGAATACTAGCCAATTGTGCTACTCTAGAAAATCCTGCTAGTGTCAAATGATGAATAATCTCTAATGGAACTCCCTTTATGCCAGCAGGTATAAAATGATCTCTCCTCACTCTCAAAATTGGGTGTTCACAGTCATTCCAAATATGTTCTGAAACATGAATAAACTAATAACGCAATAATGAATTATCTTAAAGGCGAGATTTAACACCCTACTACGACACGAAGATGATACCATCTGAAATTTGTTTAAACAAGTAAACCCTAAACTTCATATTTTCAATATAAGCAACAAAAATAACTCTTTTACTAATTTTACCTACATCTAATAAATCTACAACATATATTTTAATAATAGCTACCAAGAAAGTTTATATTAAAAATATCATTATAGAAAAATAATTTATCTAAATTTTTACTAATATAATCAATTATTGCTTTATTTTTTACACTTAAATTAATAGTTTTATCTTTACCAATTTTATATTATTTACTATATCTTAAATATGTGCAAATTATTTTTACAAATCTAACAAATATAGTTTTTCTAATAATGTAAATTTATTAATTAACATATTTTTTTCTTTTTTATTATTTTCATTTTATTTTGTTATAAAATTGATTTCTTTTTTTAGTAACCTACTAACAAATAACATATATTTATCTAATCTAATTATTTTATATTTCTCATTTAATTTATATTTATATATATTTACACTTTAATTATTTTAATATAATAATTTTTATATAACTAAATATTTTTACTTTTAAATATAGTTTTCTACATAAAAACTAAATATATTATATATGTTAATTTAAATATTTTAATTATATATCTGATAATTCCGGTTTAAAAATATAATTTTTTATTTTTCTGTTATCCTATTTTGAATATCTCTATTTTCTATTTTCATATTTCGTATTTTTCTAATTTCTTAATTTTCACATGCAAAAAAATTACAAAAAAAAAATATAATTTCAATTTTACTAACTTTTGTATTCGAATCCGGATCAACTCCTTTCACTCTTACTCAAAATAACAATTTTTGTAAGACCAAAATCTTGTAACCAAATAACAACATTATTTTTAAAAAAATATATTAATATTTATATCAAATAGAAAATAAAATAACACTTTCTTACTGTACTTTTTTCAAACTGAACAAAGGATCCCATAAATTTATAAATTTTTGCACTCTGTGTCTGTTGCTGGTTTTTTTGGCACACTCTTTTATTTTCTCAACCAGGAAGATGAAGCGGAGAAGAAAAGAGAGAGAAGCACCAGGCGGGAAATTTTTCTGAAGACTTGCGACGTGGACCAATGACGACTGTGTCAGTTTTTAACATACCGACACTCATGTCGGTCAAAGCAGTACCGATATAAATGCGAATCTAAGTTGTTTGACACACAAGGGAACATCCACGTGTTTACATCGTAGCCGTAGATCAATTTTTAAATAGCTGGTGTCGATAGAATATTTGACGCCACTATGATAATTTAAAAATAAAAAAATTATGTCAACACTATATTTTCTGACACTTCTTCCACATGTCATTCTTCACCTCAGACAACATATTTGTTTTAAAAATACCCTACTTGAAGAAATAGTTTATCTGTTCACCTTATTAAGGCAAAAAATTCCATGTTGTGGTGAAGCACCATTGTGCTTTCTTGGAATGTAGCATAAGGCGTGCTAATATCAGCAAGAGCATGCTTGTCACTTTCACTAATTCTATCTAATATTTGTTTTTTTATGTAACTTTTCTTCATAATTTAATTTAATTTTATCAAGTAGCATTACTATCAATTCCTACAATACAAGTAAAAGAAAATTAACCAAATCAAATGATAAAATATCAATTCTAATGGCAAAATAGAAAAAATCTCATAAATAAAGTATTATCAATAGTTACAATACATAAGTTACTTTGTTAATCCCAAAAAATTAAAAATTATGTAAATTAGTCTTTATCACAAAAAGATTGATAAGTAAGTCTCATGTAAAACTTATCATTCTCCATGTTAGAAATAAAATTACATCCATTGCTTATAGTCCCATGGTCTTCATGTAAAAATATTAAAAACTACTTTTAATTCTCTTTATTCTCAACATCAACAATTGTATATGATATTATTCAAATGTAGTTATAAACATCTTAACTCATTTCTTATAACAATGGTCCTTTGTAATAACTTTAGAAATGACCCATCAAGACCTATAAATGGTTTGTATCCAACCTTAAAGCCACCTTTGTACCTCAGAAAACATATATTCCACATTCAAAATTGTGGTGGACCTCTAGCTTAGAAAATAATATTTATTTTGGTCCCTAAAATAGAAGGCATTGGACATTTTAATCCATAAAATTTAAAACATGACATTAGTCACCAACTTCTATCTTCATCGAACATTTTAATCCCAAAACTCAGATATTGTTAATAGATAGTAATAAAATATAAATATCCCACGTTAAATGAGATGTATGATTGATTATGTGACAAAAATGACGTTATATGTAGTATGATATATGTTTTCATTTTATTTTAGTCATTGAAATTGTTATCGACAAACATTTTAGTTCCTAATTCTTAAAATTTTTTATCTACTTATCATTCTTTTTCTCCATTCTCTATCACCAAAAATTACCCTCATCGGTTACTATCTGTGTTCTTTGCTAATGATCTAAGTTTATGTTTGCTCCTAACTTTGGCCTTGTTGTTCCCTCAAACCTCACAAATCCTTGTTTGGAGATGATTTTCAAGCTCAAAGAACTAAATGATAAGCAACACCATCGACATCAAAGCAATGATTTGTGCGTCATATGTGAACATAGAAGTTCACACATGCCTCACTAAAATTGCAAAGAACCCTAGAACGTAACTAAAACATAGTCCCATAAGCATCGCAAAATTTGTCTTTTTAGAATTCTTTGCACCCAGTTCATTTCCCATACATGTGGACATGTCAAAGCTTTAAGGTAGATGAAAAAATGTATATCAATGTAATGGTTTAAATTAGAACATCCATGAAAGTAATGATTGCATGAGGATTAATCAACAACTCGCAAAGTAAAATTATAATTTTGTACCACCACCATGTGAGGCAAACTAAAATGCAACTTAGAATAGTAAAATTTAAGAGCACTTTTTACTCTTTGAAGCAACCATTGAAAGAAATACATGACTATGCTTTTTTATGTATACCCAAAATTTATTTGTAAATAATCAACAAAATTATGAGGTTGAAATTTGTCCAAATAATGCCTAAAGCAATGTCTTTGTTGCCAGTAAAGAATGAAAATGGTGACCAACAAGGGTAGTTTCCATTGATAAAAAATGAAGAAGAAGAAGAAAAATGTATATCAGTGACAATCTCAATGATTAAAATGATTAACAAGTGATAATTTTACGAATTAAAATAAAATGAAAAAAATATATCATACCACATATGATATCATTTTTATCACGTAATTAATCATACATGTTACTTAATATGACATATTAACATTCTGTTATTATCTATTAATTATGTTTGAATTTAAAGACTAAAATGTCTAACATATATAAAAGTTAAAGACTAACAACTTTTTTAAAACTTTAAGAAATAAAGTGTTTGATACTTTTTATCTTAAAGAATAAAATGAAAGTTTAGTTATCATTTTACTATTGAACTTGAATTACACATAAAAAATTTTCTATAAATAATATTACAAATTTTCAAATTGTTATTTTTACTCCCATCTACATCCTATCTTACCTTAATTATTATCATATAAATTTTACTATCTTTTAATTGTATACCATATTTTATATTCTTGCCTTAATAATTATTGACATTTTTATTAATCCAATTTGCTTAAAAAAAGTGTTAGAATAAGTTGAATATTAGTATAATATTTATTATTTTATTTCTTAACTTCTATTAATATAAGTTATTAATTAGTCTTACTGTTTGACTTTTATTTTTAATTTTTATAATTTTAAAAAATATTTATTTTTTAAAAAAATTTAAGTTTATTTTATTATATTCATCAAAATTTAGATTTATCCAAAAATTAATTACACTAACTAAATATATTAAAACCTATAATAGTAGAGACTTAAAAAAAAATGTTGTAGAATTTCACTTAGCTACGATAGAAAGATAAATTTTAAAGCCACTATGCATCAATTTCAAACTAAAATTATTTAATTACATTCAATGACAAATAGTGAACAACTAAAATAACTATTTTTGTAATATCTAATGCATTGGTAATTTAATTCTAAATCTTTAAATTGAATCACAACATTTTTCTAATGTATTATAAATTTAAATATCTAATTTGGATTAGTTTAAAAGTTTAACCTGTATTATTTTTAGAAATATTTTTTCTTAAATTTTCTAATCCTAAATCCTATAAGCTGAGTGGTAAACATGTTTAACCTATCTACAACAATAAATAACCACCGAAGAATTAATAATGTAAAATATATCAAATTATATTTTATTGATAATTTTATTTGTAATATAATTTTTATAATTATTTTTAAAATTATAACTATCTATTATCTTAATTATCTATATTAAATTTTGTTAAAATTAAATAATTATAAATATATGATGAAATGATATTATTTTTATTTATTTTGAATATTTATATATTATTTATTTTAATATACATAAATAAACTATTAAATATTTTCTTTATTAATCTTTGGTTTTATAAGAGTAATTTATATAATAACAAAATTAATTTAACGAAGATAAGATTATTTAAAAAATAAGAAATAATGGAAGAAAGGATTTAATTTCATCCCTTTTTGTATGTAAATTGTTTGGACATTTGAAACCCCATTGACCCCTAGAACTATTTGAAAACCCTAGAAGAGGATTTGACGATCTGAAAATTGAAGATTACGATTGGGGGAAGAGATGCCTCAGAGACACTCGAAGAACAACAACGATCTCGCGTTCTTCACGTACGATGAGAAGCGGAAACTTGGTTATGGGACGCAGAAGGAGAGGCTGGGGAAGGACTCCATTAAGCCTTTCGATGCTTGCTGCCTCTGCCTCAAATCCCTAATCGACCCAATGAGCTGCCACAAAGGCCATCTCTTCTGCAAAGAGTGCATTCTCGAGTGCTTGTTGTCTCAGAAGAAAGACATTCAAAGGTATTTCTGACATCTCTCTCTCGATTGCGATCTCGTTTTCTATCTCGTTGAATCTTAATCCAGTTTGAATTTCTCTGGTTGAAATTGCTGAGTACGTGATGATTGAAATTCGTGCTAATGACTGGTGATAATTACTGGGATTTGTTGGAATAAGGGTGGGATGGGATTATTGGGGCTTTTAATTGGCATGAATATGAGAAGTTTGAAGCGTACAAATAAAAATATGAATTGTGGGATGGGATTATTGGGGCTTTTAATTGACATGAATATGAGAAGTTTGAAGCGTACAAATAAAATATGCATTGTTTTGCTCGAATTGTGGCAGCATTAATAGAGGACGTTTTCTGCAAGATTAGTTTTGTTCTTTGACGAAATAAATCTACTTCACTTTTTAATGCTTTGGAATTTCGATAATGGAGTTGTATAGTTTAAGTCATGCCTTTTGCTATTGCTGTTATTTGTTTCGTGAAGTTGTTTTGAACGTCGCTCTCTCACCAATCATTTATGCAAATTACTAAGATTTTATTCCCTTGTGACGTACTCTATGAAATTTGAGAGTTTAGAAATGAATTGGTTGATCGAAAGCTTGATGAAAAACCTTGGCTAGTGGCAAATAAGAATGTTTATAATATACCAGACGTATTTTCAAAATTTTCAGGAAACATGATTCCTAGGAAACATAATTCCCAGGAACTAAAAAAGATTCTGTACACCAAATGCCTCCTTAGGTCCTGGATTGTCTTGATCAGACCTAATAATAAATAATACAAATCATACAATACATATCCTCTCATTTTCCTTGTTGATTTTTGGTTGCTATCATGTAATCTATCATCCATTTCTGATTGTAATTTATCTTATGATAAATAAAATGATTTTACCAGTTCTATCAAGAAGAGTCTACTGTTCTCCGTGAATGCTGATTTGAGTTCTTATGCAGAATAATTTGCATTGATTGCTTAGAACTTTTAAATATGTGTTGTCTTTCTTTGTACTATGTTTTCCTTGCTGTGGATACACTGAATGGTTGTGTTTTGAACCTTAAAAATGTTGTTTTGATGCTGATATCTATAATAAACAGGAAGCTTGTGGCCCATGCTGCTCAGCAGAAACATGAAAAAGAAGAGGAGGAAGAGAGATTGATGTTGCAAAAGGCTAAAGAGCTTGATGCATTTGATCAGCAAAATCATGGTGCTGTACCCCAATACAGTGATAGAAATTATGGCCGTGATAAGAACGGTTTCCATGGGGCAAACAGTGTGAAGGTTACATCCTATGAAGAGGAAGCCCTTCGGACAATGAAGGCATTTTGGCTGCCTTCTGCTACGCCTGAATCTTCTGTTAAAGTAGAAGCACCTTCTACCAGTACTATTTGTCCAGAAGGCAAGGAGAAACTAAAGTTAAAGACACTTTTTCCTGTCCATTTTACTGAAGATACCAGTGAGCAGAAAAAATCCAAGGCTCTTGACAGGACCTACATTTGTCCTAGCTGCAAAGTTACTCTCACCAACACAATGTCGCTTGTGGCCCTTAGTTCATGTGGGCATATATTTTGCAAGAAATGTGCTGACAGATTTATGGCTGTTGATAAGGTTTGTCTTGTTTGCAACAAGGCGTGTAAAGAGAGAAATTTGGTGAATTTGGAGAAGGGAGGGACAGGCTTTGCTGGTCATGGGGATCATCTCCAAGCCACAGACTTCAAGCATTTGGGAAGCGGTACTGGTTTAGGCCTGGTTAGACCTGCCATGAAGACTTGACGCTCTCTTGATTTAGCTGGTCAAGTGTATGCTAGATGATACTGCATTCAGGAGAAGAAACTTGTGAACTAACTTCTCTTGACGAGTTTACCATGTTACCGTGCTGTACTCGTCAATATCTGTCTTATCTTTGATGTTCTACAAAGTTTGTATTATTCTTACTGCTTTTTTTGCTTACCCAAGTTAAACCTTGATAATGTGAAAAGTCAGCTTCTTCTCTAAACTGAAAATCTGGTGGATGCATACTTCGTGCATTCTCAGCTGTATTTTTTTTTTTAATTGTGAAAGGGTACTAGCTGTCATCACTTTAGGTTGATGGGCGAGATAATATCATCTACCCGTTGATTGGGCTCGTTAATTTTAAATTATTAATAAACAGCTACGAAATTCTGATTGAAAGTTGTCTGCCAACTTACTTAGGTGATCACATTAAAAAAAAAAAAAAACGGAGCAGTAATACTGATTTTTAATACTGTATGTAATTGACATTTCGGTGTGAACATGACAGAACAAGTATAATAGTGATAGTAAATCTAACATTTAACTCTATTTTTTACATTAATATGCGCTAGCCCGCTTGGCTTAAAATCGAATAATAATATTTAGCAAAAGCTAATTAAGAAACTAAATGTGAAAGTTTTTTTATTCGAAAATATAATAAATACACTCCTTTTTTCTTAATTTTTAATGCAGTTTAATATAAACGAACTAATTAGTAAGATTATAATAGTTATGTATAATTATTTTTTACAATAATTTAAACACAAGGAAAAGAGATACAAAAAGGAAAGTGTGTGATAGATTAGTGATGTAATAAAGAGATAGAAAATAAAAAGTAAGTATATTAATTGTTGTAAAAGTTGTGTTACTCGTTATGGCTCCCTTTGTGGGGTTTTTTTTGCCTGTATAGGGTTAAATCAAAAACATTTTATTCGTATGGGTTCTTTGACAAAAAATTTCCTGTCTAGGGTGATTTGTGAGTGTCGTAACAAATGTTGGCGACACATGATCAAGTATCGACTGAAAGAATGCCGACACAGGTGTCAGAACCGACTACTGAGAGCGGTTCAAAAGGAACCGCTCTTTAATATAGACATCTTAGAGCGGTTACTTTCAAACCGCTCTCATAAATCAATTTTAGAGAGCGGTTAGAAAGTAACCGCTCTAAGAAGTGCATTTTAGAGAGCGGTTGTTATGGAACCGCTCTCAAAAGTCATGTTAGAGAGCGGTTCACACCAGTGTCGGGTTGTTCAGGACCGACACACACTGATTGGTCCAGGCCCTCCATCTTCTTCTCCTTTGTGCTTTTGGTTCTGTTATTCATCTTCTTCAGTGAAAAATTTTTGCAAATTGAAAACGCAGAGGTGGAGGTGGAGTGGAGAAGCAGGGCAGATAGATTGCATATTTTTAAAACTTTGAAAGGTAAGAAAAAAACATTATAGTGTATATTAGATATAAATATAAAATATTTATTCTTGCTTCCGTTTTTGGTCCCAGGAATATTGCAATCGGTGGTGGTCCAGGCTATTGTGAGAGGGACTTTCGGTGGTCCAGATTCTTAGCAAAAGGAGGTTAGTAAAAATTGATATTTATAGTGATTTTGTTATGCATGTAAAAAATAGGAAAATAGGAATATAGAAAAATAGAAAAATAGGAATATAGAAAAATAGGAAAATAAAAAAAATAGTTAAATTAAAATATATAATTTTCTTATTACTTATGTAAAAAATAATTAAATAAGAAATATAAAAGAATTAAATTGAATAAATATATGAGGAAAAATTATGTGTGATTATTATTATAAGGTTAATAAAATATAAAATTATGAATAACAAAATAAAATTGAAATAATAAGAATGAAAAATATTAATTAATAAATTTATATTATAAGAATCTGCAGCTGTTAAATTTGTAATAATATTTCAACAAATATTATGTCACATAAATAAGAAATAGTAAATAAATTAAAATTGTGAAAGATTAAAATATAGTTATGCATCAAATAATTATAAATTAGATTAATTTTAAAAAAATTAGAGTAAAATATAAGGAATTAAGTGAAATAAAGATGAATATATAAGCAATGTAAGTTAAATAAAATTGAAAATATTATTTTAAAATATAAATGACTGAAAATAAAAATATTAGATCAATATTAATTTAGACATTTGAATATTTTAAAAAGTTTGTAGTTATTTAAATGATTTTAATCAATAATAATAAATTACAATTTTATGCATGTAAAAAAACAAAAAAAGGGAAAGAGAAAAATAGGAAAATAATTAAATTAAAATTGATTTTTCGTTTTATTTATGTAGAAAACTGTATTTAAAAGTAAAAATGATGATGATATTATTATTGTTATACAAATATTATTATCTTAAAATAACAAAAAAATATAATTAGAAAAATATTATTTGAAGGTACAAATTGTTTAATACTAAAATGATATTGTTTTTATTAAATTTGGTTGCTTATATTATAAATTTGAAGTTAATAGTTTACTTGTTTATATAGATTTTAGATGACATCATCTTCGTCTCGTAGTAGGGTATTAAATCCCGGCCCCGAGGATGGTTCATTACTGCGCTATCAGTCTATTCATGTTTCAGAGCATATTTGGAATGGTCGTGAACACCCAATATTGAGAGTGAGAAGAGGTCATTTCATACATGCTGGCATGGAGGGAGTACCAGTAGAGATTATTCCTCATTTGACAGTAGTAGGATTTACTGGAGTAGCACAGTTGACTAGTATTCCTATTGACCGCCAATTGATTACAGCGTTGGTAGAAAGATGGAGGCCAGAGACCCATACATTTCACATGCCCCCTGGAGAGTGTGCTATTACTCTTCAAGACATTGCTATTCAGATGGGTCTTCGTATTGATGGAAGACCAGTTATTGTCTCTACAGGAGGTGACAGGGCACAAATTGTTGAAGATTTATTGGGAATTAGACCACTTAATTCTACATTTATGGGGAGCAGCTTGAAACTTACTTTGTTGGATGAGCATTTTTCCCATGTTGGGTTGCACAACCAAAATCCCATTCAGCTAACTCACTTTGCAAAAGCATATATTTTGAGACTTATTGGTGAGTTTATGTTAGCTTATCATTCTAGTAGCAGGGTCCCAGTTATGTACCTTCCTTTACTTGAGGATTTAGAGATAACTGGACAATATAGTTGGGGAAGTGCAGTGTTAGCCTTCCTATACAGAGAGTTATGCATGTCCACGAATATTGATCGGTCTGGTATTGGAGGATTGACTCCACTTGTGATGCTGTGGGCGTGGGATAGGTTCCCATTTCTATCTCCGGGTGATCCCCCTTACACACAGAATGATCTTCCTTATGGTGCACAGTATGTCTATAATATTAAAACTTTCATTCAATATTTACACAACAGTATTTTATTACAAACAGTCATGCTAATATTTATGTTTTTATAGGTGGTTAAGATTTCAAAATTTTAGGAAGGGGAGAAAGGATCTAGCTTACTTTAGGTTCAAATTTGATCATTTGAAACGTGATCAGGTATGCGTTATTTGTTTATGATATATGTTATCATCAATTAATAATTATGAATAATTACATTAATATTTTGTACACTTGCAGTTTGTGTGACAACCATATAGTATAGATTTGATGCATACTTTGTCTGCCATATGCACTGAGGGCATGCATATACAGAGAGATATTGTGCCGCTTATTTGTTTCCAAATATGTGAATGGCACCAGCCCGATCGTACCATGCGTCAATTTGGGATGGTACAACATATTCCTCATGCTTCTTATCAGCCAGACCAGCTACATGACATTACTCTTAAAGGGAAGACTGCTGACAATTGGGAGTCAAAGTTCAGGGGCGTACTAGAGCATTGGGACAGAAGATTAGATTGGGTTGTGAGTAATGAACCGCAAATTGGTCTACTGAGTTCGAACTCTGAATACATGCGGTGGTACCATACTCATACTAGACGGTGGATGAGCAGAGATGCTGCAGTGTTTGCATTACTTGTACGTATTGATCATTCTAGTAAACGATTTTGTTTGTTTAATAGAATCTAATCTGAATGTAATGGTTATGCAGGGAGATGCTCATGAGAGGGCCTATTACTTGTGTAATGATGGGAGGGACACATTTTCATTTGAGGAGATGAAGGATTTGTGTGAGACGATGTTAGCCTTGCAAAATGAGCAGGAACGTATCTTAGAGCCTTCATCTTCATGTGATCCTCCTATCCAGAGTGGAAATTTAGATGAGCCTCAAATTGACATTGGTATTGGTGAACAACGTCGGGAAGGCAAAGGTTTGCAACATCGGCGAATGTCATTTCAGGTATTGTTACCTTATGCTTCATTGGGTCATTTTACTTAAATTATAATACTTTATGTTTCATTTGAACATACTTATGTGTTTAAAATTGCAGGCCACAGATTTTACATTGCCCCCTTTGCCCGAACGAGGAGATGGTGTTTATTATGTCCCACCACCTTTTCCGTTTCAACAATCACAATGGATACAGTCATCTTATGTTCACTCATCACAGCAATCAAACGTCCCTCTTGCATCTCCATTTTTCAGCGGTGAATTTTATGTTCCTGACGCTAGCCTTTTTATGACACCTCCTCCATATGAGCCTATGTTTTTCACACCGAGTGCACCCGGTGTAGGCACTCATCAAAGTGGATGTAGTGAGCAAACAACATCATTACGACCTGGGCATGACCGTGGAATTGATCTTAATGCTGAATTCATTGCAGCCTCAGATGCAGCAGGAGCTGATGTGAGACGTAACCCTCACCGTGGAGCGCGAGATCGTCGTCGACAGTGCATTCTCACACCTCATGAGGAGGGATCTCACGAGCAGTCATTGAATTCTGATTGAGACTATGTTATGATACTGTATTTGAAAACTTTAGATGATGTTAATGAATGTTTGCTTTTGTTTAAATGCACGACTCATTTATAATTTGCCACATTCTACACATTCGACATCAAACAAGATTAATCAAACAACATACATTAATAAGACAACATACCACAATAAGACAACATACATTAATAAAATCTAGCACACTTTTTACAATCATACGAAACTAGTCATGATTAATGTTAGCATTGCTTTGTTGAGTACAATGACGTTGATTATGACCTGGTTGTCGACATAACCTACATCGTTGTCGCGGTTGTGACTCAACCCAATCCATTTCATTTCTAATTCTACAAGCCTTTGGTCTTCCTTTACCTCGTGCTCTATCTTGATCAGGCAACAACTTCCATTCATCATTTTGTAAAATGTTTGCTTCATTTCCAAGCGGCCACCACTGAGATGAGTATGCGTTCACAACATACTGCAGAGTATATACAAGATCAACATACTGCCAAAAGTCTATACTTACAGTAACACAAGCGGCTATGACATGTGAACAAGGGTATCGGTATGCCTGAAATTTGCCACATTCACATTCACGTGTAGATAATATCACACTCCACTTATGACCCCCCTTTGTGTCATTGGATTAAAAGCCTCTTCAATCTCGAACCTTGTACTTTGTATGTCATAACGATGAACCTGATGTGAAGATGCTTCTTCTTGATTTTTTTTCTATAGTCTCAATTAATTTACGACAATACCTTTTACCATTGTTCATGTCATTGATTGCGCTTTCACCCCGTTTGACAAATATTCGACCAATCTACTATAGGTTGCTTTCACAAGGGCAGTAATTGGGAGATTTCTTGCCCCTTTTAAAACTTTATTCACTGACTCAGACAAATTAATCGTCATGTGACCATAACGCCGCCCTTTATGATCATAAGCCAAGCTCCACTTTTCCTTTGATATGTTGTCAATCCATGTTTGAACTTCAGGAGAATGCGAACGAAATTTATTAAGACCAGCTTCAAATCTTTGTTTGCAAGGTGTATACGCTACATTTAAATAAGTTATACAGTTAATGGTGAAAAATAAATATATATTCATAGATAATGTAAAATGTAATAGTGATAACATACTTACCTAATTTCATAAGCATACTCTTCATTGCGGAATTTTTGAATCTTCTATTGAAATTGCTTGTAATGTGACGAATGCAATAAACATGGTAAGCATTAGGAGGTTGCCACCCAATATGTGGATTAGACATAGCACTTTTAATACTTTGATGGCGATCAGATATTAAACAAATTCCAGTTTTATCAGTAACATTTAGACGGATCATGGCTAAGAACCATTCCCATGCTGATAATGTTTCTCCTTTAACAATGGCAAATGCTATAGGAAGCACATTGTTATTGCCATCTTGAGTTGTAGCAATAAGCAATGTTTGCTTATACTTACCATATAAAAAGGTACCGTCTACCTGTATTATAGGCTTGCAAAACTTGAAGGCTTCACGACATTGCCTAAACGACCAAAATACTCGATGAAAGACTCTGAATCTATTATCCATTACATTACCTCTCACATAATCATTGGTCTCAATTTTGTAAACTGACCCTGGAGCATGTAATTGCATGTATTCTAACCATCTTGGTAATGTTGCATAAGATTCATCCCAATCACCAAATATTGTCACAATTGATTTTTGCTTTGCTTTCCATGCTTTTTTGTATGAAACTGAATACCTAAATTGGCCACTTATTCTCTCTTGGATTAATGAAACGGGAACAGAAGGTTCTTCTTTGACCATACCTGTCAATAAAATTAAACAATACATCTCAGCTAATGATCATATCCAAATCATTTTAAATAGACAAATAAATATAATCTCAATTGAGTTTCACGTACCAATAATGCATGAACAAATAAAATTTGAATCTAACTTTTTGTGGTCTTGAGAAATCATAGTATTAACGCAGGTATGCATACCACCCCATCTCGTAATTTTTCACTTATTTGAATTTTTGGGTAGCAATGCTCTTACTTTCCAAGGACACCCGGAAATATGATTCACATACTTGACAAAATGAGTTGATGCTTTTGACTCAACCACAAAAAATGTTTGATGTTTCTTCATTGCATAATGTTTTATCGCCATCTTTACCTCCTCTTTAGAGTCAAATAGTTGTCCAACATATAATGCATCTCCTTGTACCCATGATTGTGACGAATGCAACTCAGAAAAATCCAATTCTTGATCAGGATGTTCCTAATTAATAGCAGTGTAATGTGAACTTATGTTCCAAAAAGGTGTTATAGAATCTGTATTAAACTCAAGAAATGTTAGTTAAAAATATTTAACAATTATTGTATTATATAAAATTGTACCTGCAGATTGTCTTTGCATAATGTTATTTCTTTCAGTGTTTGGAACTGTCATCATTGAATCGAAGCCATCTTCCAAATCAGTATCAGAAGAACTATCTAAAGGAATTTCTCCTTCATCTTCATAGTCATCATCGTACTCATCTTCGTCATCTGTAGATGCAGCAGCAAATATTTATTAATAAATTATAAAATTTTAAACATCATATAATTTAAATAAATATTATACATTACCTCCTCCAATTGCATACTCTTCTTCATTGTCACTAACAGACACAGTTGGGAGTGATACATTTAAACATAACAAACTTTCACCTACATGAGAAGTTTCACCAACCGCAATATCTACATATAACTCAACTACTCTTTCATGCCGTTCTTGACAAGCACTTATCATACAGTCAATGTCTTCATCATCACATACATCTAAAATTGTGTAATTTCCACTCCTTGAATCAACTAAAATTCGTGAAATTAGTCTAGAAATTACATTACTATTGCACAATCTCAATTTTGTATGTATTTTTTTTTCAACATCTCAAAAGTAATTCCACGTTCTATTTTAATCATTTTCTTATTCCCTTCAAATATGATACCCTCATTTCCTTCATACACTCTTCCATTCCATTATAAAATAACCACAATTTCAGTCATCCTGTGTATCAAATTAAAAAATACAACCAAAATTATTACAAAAGTTTACCTAAACAAATAGTAACAAAAATAATTACCACAATATTAAAATAATATATTTTTACATTTATATTTTCAATAATATTATATTAATATTAAATAAATTAAATTTATTACTACAAATATTTTTATTTTTATTTATTTATAATAATATTAAAATTATTAATTCAAATTTATTTACAATAATAAAAAAATTTAAAACAATAAATTAATAACATTCTAACCTTTTTCTTTCAGCAGAACAGCTCACAATTGCGGAACCCCTCTCCTCACAATTGCGGAATGCAGTAGCAGAATACACCTCGACGTCTGCCTCTATATATTGCATTTGATGAGAGGAGACACAGATAGTGTCGGCATTCTTTCAGCCAATACACAAGTGTCGCGTAAATTTAACCGACACACATGACTTTTGAGAGCGGTTCAAATTCGAACCGTTCTCAAAAGTCCATTTTAGAGAGCGGTTCCATAACAATCGCTCTCTAAAATGCACTTCTTAGAGCGGTTACTTTCTAACCGCTCTCTAAAATTAATTTATGAGAGCGGTTTGAAAGTAACCGCTCTAAGATGTCTATATTAGAGAGCGGTTCCTTTTGAACCGCTCTCGGTTTTGACACCTGTGTCGCCAACATTTGTTACGACACTCACAAATCATCCTAGATTGGAAATTTTTTGTCAAAGAACCCCATACGGATAAAATGTTTTTGATTTAACTCTATACAGGAAAAAAAACCCCTTTTGTGGCTAGGATACACTAATTATTGAAAAATTAGATGAACTGTTTTGCTTAACCCATTGGAATAACTTGATGCACGTGGGCTGCCTGAGGAAGCATGCAACCACCATTACCCTCTTTTAACGAAAAAGACAACCCTATAAAAGCAAAAGCTTAAAGAAAAAGTCTGGAATTCTTTCGTTTTCAAGCAAAGGTCCTACGTTTTTTACCCCAAAAAATGAAAGAAGAGCAAAGGTCCTACTTGTGAATGGTGGCCATCATTTTGTGTGGGATGGGACTGGATATATTTAATTTTTACACTAAAAAATAATTAATGCATACAATTAATTATAAGAATATACATTAATTGTTTTTTAAAATTACTAATTTAAGTGGTTTAAATTTGAAAACATATTCAGTTATATTTTTATTTTTCACGGCACGGTGACGGGGTTCTTAACAGGGTATTTACAATTCGTAACTAATTTATTGAGAAAAAAAAGAAAAAAAAATAATCATTCATCTATATACCATTCAAAAACTTTGTCTGTATCTCTTTCTTTTGTATGAATTAAGATGACATGTATGGGGAATTCAAGTTTCCTATCTTTAAAGTTTTAACTTAACCTAACAAGCTTGCGTATTGGTTTTTTTCCATTATTTTTATATTTTAAATTGAAATTAAAATATTCTTGTTTCGAAGTTTTTCTATTTTGGTTATCCAATTATTACTTTGATAATGGGCACAAATCACGGTAATTCAAACCTTTAGCAATGTTATTTAACCAATTTGTTATTACTATTTGTACAAACTGCGTATATTAGTTCATTCAAATTTATTTAAATTTGGCCAACACAAACAATCCTATTTAACTTCAGATTTTTCACATATACTCTCATTTAATTATCTAAAGATTTGACTAGGAGACACACTCTCTAAAGTCAATTTTGGGAGAACCACTTAATTATAATAATGCTGATTTAATTCATCTTTCAACAATAAATGTATCAAATATCGAATATTTATTTATACCTTCGGTTACACGGTTTAGTAGGATTTTATTTTATATAAATATATATAATTTAATATTTAAAGATTAATTTTTTTTTATCATAAATAACTATATATTATATATAACAAAATTATTTTAAATATTTTAATTTAATTTTATAACTATGAATAGTTTCATCACAATAATAAAAATATAATAAAATTAAACAATTTTAAAAGATAATTTATTTTAACTAGTATTTTTATTGTAAAGTGTCAAAATATCTTTTGAATTAAATGTCAATAATCAATATATTTTAATAACTATAAATTTAAGAGATGATACTCTTAAAAGTAAATTTTAAATTTAACAAAATAAAAACATTAAAATATTTTTTATAAATATAAAAAATAGTATTAACAAAACATATAAACATTTTATATAAGATAACAAGAGAAAAGAAGAAACAATTTTAATGTCTAATTTTATAAAAAAAATTAATAAAAAAACGTGTATAAAAATAAATGTTATTGCAACAATAGGAAATGTTATTTATACATTATAAAAATAAAAATTATTGCAACAATATGAAGAATAGTAACAAATTATGAAGAGGTGTATCTTCACTAATACTCTGCCTTTTAAATAATTGATTCTCGTTTAGATGTTTTTATAGTTTCAAAACATTAAGTATAGAAATTATTAGATTAACATGTGTGTCACTTTCTAATAAAATTTTAACTTTTTAAACAAAAGATTTTCTTTTTGTTAAAATCGGTCTCTTTATAACAAATAATGATATTTTATGTAAAAAGTAAGATATTTATTAAAATTACTTTTATTCACAGTTATTCACATGTCTTTTTTAGAATTAAAATTAATTAAAAACGATATATGAATTGTATTATCTTTTAATGCATTTGATTTAATTTTTACCTACTTTTTTTTTGTTAACTCTATGCTAAATTAAAAAAAGAAAATTTTTACATAGTTTTTTTATTTTATAGAAATTTCTAGATGTTTTTGTAAATGCCTATATTTATAAAAAAACTTTACACACACATATATATAATTATTTGGAAAATAATTTTTTATCTTCTAATTATTAAAACATATATTTATTTTAAAATAAAATATCCGATCATTTCACAGCTACCAAATAGTTAAGTAAATAAGTTTTCTATTATTACTGTATTTCAATTACCAATCAAAACTCATGCAAGAAATAACACGTTGACATTTAGAGTATTAAATGATGGAAGAAGAGAAAAAAAAAGTGATAAACAAAAAGGCATGTCTTAGAAAACGCAGTGGATACTTTGACAGTGGATTTAACCCATTCTAAGCGTTGAATCTAATTGTTATAACCACATAATTTGAAAAAGTTGTCGTTCTTCTTCCCTGTTTTCAAAATTTGACTTCATCCCTTTAGCATTGGAAACTGAATAGGGACAAATTTCAGCGGCTTTTAGAGGGGATGTTATTTTTGGCAGACCTAATTACTTTAACCATTCTCAACTTATCAGGAATCAGAAATTGATAAAGTTTATTATTAGAGAAATTACCAAATTACTTTGATTTCTCATGAACCAATATCAAGATTAGGAGACCGTTAATTAATAATTAGCATGAGCAAATCTTAGCTATATTCCAGTGACGATGAGGTAGCTGCAGTACCATCCAAATTGAGACACTACGTGGGTCCCGCACGCCATTATTACCCGCCAACCGAGGGATCACTGTTAGTATTTTTTAGTATTATTGTTATATGGCTGGAACAAACATCGTCCCGCTTGCTTTCATTACACAACCTACGCACCCCCAACAACAACAGAACAGAAGAAACCTCAGCCCCCAAAAAAAGCAGAATAAGAAAATATTCTTTCTTCTTTTCCCTGGAACCCCATAAAGCATAATCACAAAGGGTGTCTTCAAAAACCGAAATTTCATTGGGTTGCATATAAAAGGAGGTATCTTTGGGGGGAAGAGAAGATAAAGGTCTAAGCTTTGTTTTGGGTTTCGGGGCAATGGGGGATTTGGAGAAGAAAGAGAGGGTGGAAAAGCGAAGGGAAGAAAATGGGGAGGAAGAGAAGGAGGGGCTTTTGGAGGGTATGGCGGTTTTGGATTTTGACATGCTTTGTTCCTCTGTGGCTTTGCAAAGCGCGCATGGGACTTGGGGGAAGCTTGGGGTTGGGGATGAGGAACAGCAAGGTGGGGTTTTGAGGATGTGGGAAGGTGAACTCTTCGATTGCTTTGATGATCGACATATCGCCTTTGAATCTGCATGGTGAGGTTCTGTGTCGTGTGCTTTTATTTTTTAAGAAAATTATTGTCTTTTTGAGATGTTCCTTGATATTCTGTATTATGTGAAGTTGCGTATTTAAAGTTTCACTGTTCATTTTGAGGGATTTTCGCTTGTTTTGGAGGAAAATAACGTTAATTTTGTGAGAATATTAACTAATTTTGAAAAAAAAATGGGGGATGGTTGTTTACATGTTGGAATCATCTGCTTTTTCATTCTTCATTTCGGGGTGGACAAATATTTTGTTGTCAATAAGTCCCTCATGAAACTTTGTCAAGAATGTAACTTGTGCGATTTGTAACGTGGGTTTCAGTTCAGTTTGTATTTTTTTGCCATGGCTTCCCATTCACAAATTCCTGGTTTTCATGGTTTAAATGATAGAAGTCAAAATGGGAGTTCAATATTATGTATTTCTTAAATGTGGGATGGGGGTTGGGGGGGGGGGGTTGAGGGATTGGTGACGTTGACATTTATTAGTATTTTTGAGTTACTGATACACTTGGTTGGGTTTTGACAGATGGATTTTAATCAGTTTAATTTTGTTTGCACAATAATATGGTTGGGAACTCTGTCTACTTATTTACGCATGTATTTATGTGAATGCCTTTGTGGCCAATGAAAGACTACTAGGCAAAATGACCCAGACACAGATAATGTGCTGAGGGTTTGCGGTTATCTACAAGGACTTGTTTTTATCATCATGTCTGTAATAATCCATTTCATCGTGTTGCAGTTGTCCTTGCTACCGATTTGGGAAGAACATGAAGCGAGCTGGTTTTGGTTCTTGTTATATTCAGGTATATTTAAATTGCTTCAAAATTCAAGGAGCATGTGTTGTTTAAAATGATCAAATCACAACTTAAACATATGGGAACCACTTTTGGAATTGGTGATTTTTATTTAAATTTTTCTTTCACTTTTGGTTATATAACTTTCTGAAGTTTGAATTTCCCTGTTTTATATTGCAGGGTGTAGTTTATTTTCTTCTCGCTATCGGTGCCTTTCTTAACATCATTGCCTTTGCTATCACGAGGCATCACTACTTTCTATACCTGTCAGTTGCCTTCTTTGTTACTGTTGGAGCATATTTAGGATTTTACCGAACTCAAATGCGAAAGAAATTCAACATCAAGGTGTGTTTCCTCTTCCTATACTATAATTGTTTAACACTTAGAAGTTTACCTTTATCTTAACCCCTAAAATTTAAGGGTGGATTTTCCTTGCTTACTTTAGAGACAATCTCACTTTATAGGAGTTTTTTCCGTCTTGTTTTTTTGTTTCTGAAAGATACTAGAGAGATTGTTGCATATGCTTATTCTCCAAATATTTGTAAAGAAATTATTCTAGTGGAGCATTAATGTTGACTCTGGCGTAGATTGAACGGGTAATCCATCTGTTTAAGGATAACAGACTAGTGGTATAACTTTGTTATTTTACACACTTGTGAGATTACTGGGTTAATAATTATCAATCTCAGATAGCAGCACATAGTGGCCAACCCTAAAATTGCTATAGTGGGATAGCAGATTGCTAGATGACTTCTATTCTGAATTTTTTTATATAAGCTACATAACTTATGCTATATATATGAAGGTTAAAAAATTTAGAAAACAAATACTAAAATTCATAACATTTTTCAGTTTAGCAAAATAGACAATATATAGCAATAAAAAGAAGTAGAAGCAAGTTTAAGCCTTTAAACTCAATAGCTTAAAGTAACAAAACATTAAAGAGCAAATAAAACTAGGACTGAACAAGAAGATAATTTAGATAAAATTAAAAAAAGAACAAAATAGCCTGAAACCAATAAAACACAGAAAAATATAATAATAATAAAAAAGAACAGGACAGTGAAAGGAGAACAACTTGCAAGATAGTTTAGAGAGAAGAGGGTAGAAAAATGCAAAGAGGCAAACCCATTTAAACCCTTTTTTATTTCAACCCAACAGAAAAACATAAATTAGACATAGAGAGAATGAGAAACAGAGTACTGTTGAAGAAGGAAAGCAGAAAATAGATACCGGAAAACAGTCCCCTTCACTCACAGTAACCAGAAAACCACTGGAAGGATGTGGTCTCTGGCGAATATGATGAACAAGGAGAAGCAATCTTCAGAGAAGAAAGAAGCAAACAGAAGAATAAAAAAGCTATGTAGGTATCAAGTGGAGAAGCTTGCTCTAGAAGGAAAGAAGTTCAAGATTAAGTGCAAGAAAATGTCCCTTTTTCCCTTAAGAAAGGAACCAAAATGACACTGTAGTATGGCAGAATTGGACTTTTATTCCCCTTTCTCCATTGAGTTGTGATAGCGCACACCCAACCCGAGCCATGATTTTTCCCAAAATTAGGGCGTGCCATCCATGATTGCAGAAATGCTTCTTGTTGCGGCTGACTGCCGCACTGTGTCTCACGCTATATTGACAACTATGACTGGGTTCTGTAGGTTCCTGCAAATCTACCAAAATAATATATATTTGATTGCATTGCATATAAGATGCTGACATGAAAGACATTTTATGATGTTCATAGGCTTGATATGATCTGACAACATTTTGAAATGGATGTATTATTTATCTATTTTGCTGGTTTGCGGCATTTAGTTTACTTCTATGAAGAGTTTTCTAATGTGTGATCAAATGATGAAACCATCATGTTGTCTCCATTATCCTTTTATAATATAATTCATTTGGACTAACGTCGCAAACATTTTGCACTTTTGCATGCATGAACACGTGCTGGAGGATGAATGTTTAACATTGATACTTTGGATTTTGTGACTTTCTAATGCATGGACTGTAATGGACGTTGACTTTATTTTTGTTAGTCATATGCTAATTTGTCTGCTTAATAAATATTGACTCACTTTTTTCAGGGTAGTGATAGTTCATTGGATGATTGCGTGTACCATTTTATCTGTCCTTGTTGCACATTATGCCAGGTCAGTTCAAACTTCATTCCCTTTTCAACTTGGATTTTGTTGATTGATTTAAATGTATTCTGAAATAAAACTAGTGATAGTGGACTATCCATCATATCAGTGGTGACCGCAACCAAAACAGGGACATATTCATAATTGAAATCACGCATTGTATTGAATATTTGCATCTTTGTACTATGATGTATAGGAGTCGAGAACGCTGGAAATGAACAATGTTCAAAATGGCACGTGGCATGGTCGGGGTGATACAATATGTATAGGTGGCTTAAGAGATGGAAGTAAAGCACTCTATGAGTTACGTCCTCCTCCTATAGAGTCCATCAAGCCTACCGATGAAAATTGCATGGAAAAGAGCATAAATGTCAGTAATGAATCTTAAAACAAGGTAGTGGGGAGATTTTGAAAAAATGGTTCTTCATCTGAATTGTCTGCACTGCATATTTCATTCGGAGTTCTCATCTCATAAAATTTGATGGCCAAGACATGAATGTAATGCTTAACTTTTGGGTGGAGAAAAAAGCCCGTTTTTAAAACTATCCAAGGAGGGAGGGATATGTTAGTTTGCAAATGTGCATATAGGGTATGCTATTCTCACCTAATGGGGTCTTATTTTTACCAAACCCCTGTAGTATAGATTCATCAGTGTTGAAAGAATGCCATCTTTATTGTTGTACTATTATAATGGAAACTTATGCATGCTCTCATATTGCCCACTTTTTACAGAACTTCGGGAGATTCAACACACTTTCATTTGAGTATTTATTGGGAAAGGCTTAAAAGAAAATCAAGCTTAAACAGCTAGAACTAATTCAAGCCCAAGCTTAAACAGCTAGAACTAATTCAAGCCCAGCTTAATAAGTAATATAGCTTTTTTGTTTTTCAGTTCAATTTGGACTTCGAGTTCATCAAGTTGAGGGGAGTAAATGATGCAAGTTGAGCCAAGTATTTAAAATATTAGCTTGATTTGTGAAAAAAATAATAATTTAAGCTTGATTTATTTATTTAAACAATTAAAATTTGAAGTTTCAGCGCGAAGTGACTAATTGTTTTAATGTTTAGACTTAAATCGTTCTTGTTTGTTAATTTATTGATTTTGTTTATTAATTTTATTATTTAATAAATGTTTTTATTTTAAAGATTAATATAAAATAGTTATATATTTTTACCTATACTCAGATGACCTAAAATTTAAACTAATTTTTTTACTATGAAAATGATGGATCTTACTTGAAAAAGAATTATTTATTTAAAATAGATAAATGTTATTTTTATAAATAATGTTTATGTTTGAAATAAGTTTTAAAAGAATAAATTTAGTTATTTTAAGCTCTTTGAGCCGTTTATAGACTTAATGAACTGACTTGATTTTCTTATCGAAAGTTAAAGCTTAACTTCCTTTTCTACTTCCAAGGGGGCCGTATTTTTCCGAATGTAATTTGTTCAAATGGATGATTTTCGTTAGGTGCAAATACCCTTTTATGTCAGAATCTTGTGAGAAATTTGGCTGTTAGGCTCGTACAGTGGGTGTTTTACTTCATAGTTCACGGGATGATGATGATAACAGCATCTATATATAAACTATGAAATTGTTTGTAGATTTTTTGAACGACAATGAGACAAATAAAAAGAGAGAAAAAAGAAGCACAAAGTAAGGCAGTGATGTGACAAAGAAAGATTTAAAAAATTTATAAAAAATATTGTAAGAATTTACTATAAAAACTATATAACTAATAATTCAATGAAGACAAACGAATCGCATTTACTTAGGTTAGGCACTGCCAAAGCCTTCGTTGGTGAAGCCTGAAATTGCAGCCTTAAGTGTATTATATAATGATGCTAATTGCCATTGGAGGATGGTTAAAGGGAGTGTGTGAGGAAGTTGTCACATTTTAAGTTTTATTCTTTGAATAATGTTCTTAAAATGAAACTTCCCCCTCTCCTACTCCTACTTGTTCAAAATTTGGTACCAAATGCTGAGTAGTTTCCAAATGAAAGTTTTGGCAGGTTTCCATCCTCTGTACTCCACCTCTTGCTAGAGGCGATCTATTTAATTTTCACTAATGGTTTAACTGTTATCATTTGAAGTGATGCATGCCTCTTTTACGGATAGAATTTCCTTTGGCTTGGCAAATTGGAATCTGTCAAAAGTGCCTTACTATGCCAAAACAAAATGATGTTGAAAACTTTATTGCGAAAAAATGATATATTAGAACACGTTCCATCATGTTAGCAAATCTAAACCTGCTGATATTTATATTGAAAGTAATAACTAGAGTTATACCACTTTGCCCCTTTTAAATTTTACTTATTTCATTTTAATTTATGAATTTTCAAAAACTAATACCAAGTCCATGCAATATTAGCTTTGGTTCCCACTGGTAATCCCTTTATTTTATATCTAAAATCTGCTTAGGGTTGAATTACTACTCACAAACTTTAAATTATATTAAGTTTTATTTTTGTCAACAATGGTATATTAAGATTGAAAATATAACAAAACCAATTGTATCAATCCGAAATTAGTCAAGGCCTAAAATACTATAAGGCCTAAAATACTATATGATGTGATTTTTCAAACCCCCTTGAGAAAAGGATCTAACTAGGATTAGGAATACTCAAATTAAAAGAGAAAATTGGGGTTTCTAATGTATACATTGAACCCCAAGAATTGGAAAGAAGGAATTTACTTGAGCAAAGAAAACAAATAAAAACAAGAAAAGAATTATGCAGCTGCAGACGTAATAAAATTGGGTTGTATATCACGCTACAAAATTTGGATTACGGTGTTTTCAAAACAAGGTAAAAGTCCACGTTTTGAACTACAATTTTGGCTCAAGAATCGCTGAAAAAGACGTTGTATAATAGGAGATATAATTTGAGTTAATTATGAATGAAATTTTAGGATTATGATTCATATTTTTAAACCTTAGGTTAGATTTAGGTTTCTCATTGTTATTTCATATAAAAACAAAGAATTAGAAGAAATAACAAAGGATAGGTGCCACAAACCTAATTAGTTGATCTAAAATGATCGCCACAGAAATATGAATTCTTGATAAGACTTTAAAAGTAAAGAAGAATCCTATCCTTAAGAGAAAATTTCATAATTATGAATTTTGTTTAATCTGAATTCTTCTTTTTCCATTAAATCTAAGTGTTTTTAGTACATTGCAAATTAAGATTTTGCTAAATTAAAATCAAACAAAAAAAAAAGAAAAATATCTTTAGTACAAGTAAACTAAGATGGCCTAGTGGTCATTAGCTAACACTTGGCCACAAAATTAGTAAGAACAAGATAAGTGGCAGGCTTCAACTCTATGGAGCCTTTTACTATCACCTATCAATACACTAAAGTCAAGATAAGAAATTATATAAATATGTGTATACCCCTTGTCATAAAGAAGGTCCATCCCTGATTGTAATGTGTGTGATCTTTTTCTTCTCTCTTGCAAGAAATAAAAGACACTAGAGACTTCTGCATTACACATAAGAAAGCACATTATACATGTTTTGTTTAGAATAAACCATTTCAGGTAGAAAAAGTAAAAGTAACATAGATTCCTGGCTCAAAGTGTTTGATACTTGCGAATCTTTTAAAAATGCATCAAAGAAAAGATGTAATTGACCTCACGATTCCCAAGAAAAGAAGCTCCATTTTCAGATGGCTTTGAACCTTGTAAAACAATCATCTTTCTTTTGTATTGATTGCATAAGTTACTATGGTCAATGCCTTGCTGTAATTGTACATGTGCAAAGATGCCTTTCACTCTTCACACTTCGGTTTAAGTACTGTCCAACTGTTAAGGAAATAAATGCAAAAGCCTCATTAATGTCCTTAGTTGTTATTTGTTTCAGAAATCTGAGCTGTGCTTTTTCAATAAGTGGCAAATTGGTTATATAAAGAAGGCATTGGAACAGTGGTATATGGCATGGTGCTTTTGACTAGAGAAAACTTGATTAATATTAGAAAAGACAAGTAGCATACATTATAATGATCTCCTTTCTTAAAGCAATGGAGACCAGTATTTATCTCTAAGCCGAACAATGTTTTGGCTTCCTGTTATTTCGAGTAATGATGCAACATAAGGGAATGTTCGGTGTTTACTTGGCTAAAACTGTAAAAACTGAACCTCAGATTTTAGGACACTCGTGTGAGATTGAAGGCCCATGGTTTACTTGCTTTGGATTAATAATTCGATTCAGTTCTTAAGGCTAATTTTAAGCATCCGAGAAAAGTTGAAAGTCTCCGTTGAACATAATATTGATTATACTTTTATATTCTCCACACATATATATATATATATTATAAGAAATTATTACTTTTAATTAGTTAAAATCAGTTCTAAAAGATTAATCATAAGAATTAATATTCATATTTTCCTTAAAACTTTGATTTTTTTTTTTCGTGGCCATTAACGAGATATCAATATTAGAGAAGAAATATGCCAGGCCATGATATAATTCTATCATGACCTTAATAAATGCTCAATCAGATTCAAATTAACCCCTATATCAGGTGTTGTATTTCATTGCATTGGTGCTGCCTTACAACTTCCATTTGCATGTGGCAATCCCTCTCCACAAGGTATTTGATTTGATTTAATGATTTCTGAATTTCATTCGATGCAATATAGATTGCATTAATTTCTTTTTGGCCAATGACACATGGGAGTGTATGGATATCTCAACTCTCTTATATCCAAAACAAGGCCTTGTGGCCCTTTCTTGATTTGGACTGAGTGTAAGTAGTGAAACAGAAAATGTATGGACCCAACACGAATTTTTCCTCTCAGTTTCCTCCCTCACGAGTTTGAGAAAACTTGAATTTGTTTCTGCAGCATAGACCATCAAATTCTCTGCCGTTTGGTGCTTCTCTCTAGCACACTCACTGGAGTTTCGCAATCACTACTTAAAAAGCTTGTATCTATCATTAACTCTTTTGCTTCCATTCTAACAGTCTCTTGCATCAAATCAAAGCACTTGGACAATATCTCCTAAAACAACCACCATCAATATCTTTACACTAATGCCAACTACGAATTCAAATATTTGCACCAAAGAATAGTGGTTGAATGTAAACTAACCTCATCTAGATACTCACAAGCAGTAATTGAAGCTCTTAGAATAGAATATTGCTGCGGGAATAGTTCATTAGATGCAAAGATAAGGGAACTTGCCGCAATAGTTGAAGGTTTATACTCTAAAAGCTTAATGTCTGCTGCCATAAGAGGTAAGCAATTCAGAGTTTGAAACTGAAGATCAAAATCAAGTTACACGTGTGAATATAAAGAATTAGTACCATTTTGAGCATTGAAGATAATCTCTGAAGCTCTCTCTTTAAGTGCTTGCTGCAGTGATTGGTCTTTGATTTCATCTAAAGAGATGAAGAAATTCAAGAAAGAAAAAGGTGTAATTGACCTCATACGCCATTTCAGAGCCCCGAGAATAAGATGCTCCATATTCTGAATACTTTGAGCCTCAAAGTTGCAACCTTCTTTCTGTTTCATTGAGATCATAAACGCCACATGTTCAAGTTACTACGGCATTGTACAAGTTGTGTTTCTATTCAAATGATTGTAATTATGTGAATTTGAAGATTTACCTTCATATCAGAAAATGAAAAAGTTTTGTTGTTCATCTTTGAAGCAAGAGAAATGCAGGATATAACAAGAAGCCTGAGAAACCACGGCTTCCCCTGCTGCAAACACAAAAGAAAATGGAAATATTTGGATGCTATTAAGGTACAATTGTTCCAAGGCTTCTTATATTCCCATGAATTGAACATAGGCTTAAAGGGGAATCATTAGATATATGCTTACCGGAATTTCTTGGCTTGACATGAAACGCTGCAAGTAATTTATAGCAAGGTATGCTACAAATGGGTCTAAATTGCAAGATAGCTGAACCTAAAGAAACATAAAAAAATCTAGCAAATTTGACATGAAAGAGGGGGAACTGAACATACTATATACACACACATAACTTTCACCTGAAGTATGAGAGACATGGCTTCACAACGGAAGGAAACATGAAAAGGTGTTGAACATAAGCAGTTTGGTAAGGGCATGTGATCAGATTCGGAGACAAAGAGTTCTGATATACTAAAGTTTTGCTCTTCTCTGAAGATGGCAAGTGGGTCTTCAAGATCAAACTCCATCTTCCCTTCCTTGATCAATAGGATAGTGTTCTGCTGTTTGTGTATTGCTATTGAGGAATTCAAGGCATAAGAAAGACAATGAGACAAAAAGTCTCAAGATGGTAACTGTAAGATGGAAAAGAAGGAGAAGCTTCGCTTTCTGTGTTGATAAAGTGATTGTGTTGGCTTTCTTTTTTGGCAGAAAAGTTTACACGTATATAATATGGAATATGGATTCTTTGCTACTCGCTCTCCCTCACCTATACTATACACATAGAAATCAGGAAAAGCAAGGCTTAAAACAAAGTCCTACAGGTTTGAAAATTTATGAAAGCCAACATAATAATATAGCATGTGCGCTTCATCTGAGATGGACGTGACAATGTTTTGGTTAACATTAAGAGTGTCACCGTTACTTCCACAAATCCACACACACGAAGGATGTCCCATCAATATCATCATGTACGTAAATTTTTAATTTCTACCATTTATTCTAGGCAAAACAATAAGGTGTAATTGCATAATCTTGCAAACTCCTGTTGTTTCTGTGGGTTTCATCACATTTTCTGTTATAATATTTCACTATAGTTTAAATATTAAAATCTCCAATTAGCTATACTTTTAAAATAAGGTGCATGTTATCGTGCAATGCAGTTATATACCTGAGGTGTCACTTGTTTGCGTCCCATTAATTAGGTAAGAAAACATTAAGGGTTATTTGAAAAACAAGTCTAATATCACCATCAGGGTGTAAGTGGTCCTCTGCTTGATCTTGTTGTAATCAGAACACGGTAGAGACAGTTGTGGTATGTATTCACCCTCTTGACCGAGATAAGCGCTGCTAAACATTGAGGCGTGCCGTTGAATCCATCACTAAGTACAAGCTAGTAGCAGCTGGAAAATCAACTTGTCCTATTAGAATTTGTCACACCCTTTGAAATGTAAACATGAGTAGCTCTTTCTGTGTTTATTTGATAAACAATTGAGCTTATTAGAAGCTAAATAATGATCCATGGCATTCTAATTATGTCGTAACTAATGAACACCCATTTTTAGTTTTGGCTTTTGATAATTAGGCACACCCCTTTTGCATGGAAAAAGAAAAGGAAAAAGCAAGAAACCTCTGTTCGCTTCGATGATAGCTATGAAATCTTTACCTTATTACCTTTGACCCGTCTGCTATCTGAATCCCAACAAGAACAAAAAGGAATAATCTTTTACTATGACATGCCCAATAATAATAACTTTGACTAGTTTTGATATTCTTTACTATTATTGTTAGACTGAGAATGATAATAATATTTTATCCGGGTCACCCCACTGTGATAATGAAGTTAATAATGTTGCTATCTTACTTTCTTATATTGCAGAATATTAAACAGTTCCTATAGCTCATAATGTAATGCTGATTCGGCATTTGTGTTGAAGACATTAATGCAGAGTTGTTCACATGATGATGATCAAGACGGGAAGTGTGTCAGAAACGTCCCACTTGAATTGACTATCATCTGCGTTGGGAATTATCAGTAACGTTTAGGCTATTGGGGTTCATGAGGGACATTCAATTGTCTTTACCAACAAGAGGTACCACATTACATGTGACTTGTGAGACAATCATCTAACTTAGTACCGTCTAAGTGCCATATCTTATCAAAATTTCATGAATTAAAGATAAAGATAAATAGAGTACGCCAAGGAGGTTAGATGCACTTTATATTATATTATATTTTATATATATATATATATATATATATATATATATATATATATGTTAGATGCACTTTATATTATATTATATTATATATATATATATATATATATATGATATTTTAAAAATAACTTTTGTCAAAAGTTATTTTATCATTAAATTAATTAATATAAATCAAACATTAGTTCATATATAATTTTATAACCAAGACTTATTTATATTATAAAATAATTACTATATGTTAAAAAGTTGTTTAATTATAAATAAAGTTTTGAATTTATATGAATTTATATATCACTCTATTTGTATGTATAATAAACTTTTGTTTACTAAAGTGTCACATGGCATATCTTTTACACTTCTACCCAGCGTTTTTTTAATTTTTATTTACTTTTAGATTTTAAAAATTATAAGAATATAATAAAATTCAATAAATAAAAATTATTATCATGTATATTCAATAGAAAATAAAAATACACCTTATAAAATAAGTTTAAAAAATTATTTATATATATTTAGTGATTACTATAATATGAAAAAAGTGCAAATAATTTTATAAATTATATTTTAATATTTATATTATTGATTAATTTAGTCTTCTAAATATTTAAGATAATAATTCTTTCAAGTGTTAAAATGTAATAAAAAAAATTTCATTTTGATTTATAACTTAATAAAACAACTATTTTGATGTCATTTGAAAAATCAATTTAATATCATAATTTTATAATAACAAAATTGATATTAAATATTTTTTAAAATACTCAGCACATATTTTAATATTTCTTTTAGAAGTAATTTATAATAATCTTTTCATTAAAATTAGTGTAATATAAATAAAAAATATTTAATATTATTAGTTATATATTTTAAATGATTAATAATATAAAAATAAAATAATATGTTTTTTTTATAAAGTTATGCATCATATATATAATGCTAGATGAACCTTATATTTTGAACATTTTATCGGCATTTTAGTTTATGTTAATTATTTCTTTTAAAACTATAACATTTATTTATTTGAAAATTTAAACACTTTTTTCTAAACTTAAATATCAATGCTTTATGATATATATGTTTTTTATTCATTTGAATTATTTTTAATGGTAGAAGTATTTTTTTTTTCTTTTCTTTTTTTCTTTTATAGATCATTAAATATATATATATATATATATATATATATAATTATGTTCCTGAAAATATTTCATTTGAATCCGACTTGAAATCAACTTTAAAAAAAATATATACAATAATAAATTATTTAAACTTGTGTCATTAATTATCCCAGATAATACCAACCCTTAAAATGTGATATAGTCAAATATAAAACATTTCTTAAACTAAACCCCACCTAAAGTTCCTTAAGAAAGAAATACCTAGTTTCGGTAAAAGCTGAAGTTATGGCTCTTTCAATTAAGGCGAAGGCTAATTCAAGAATGTCTTACCACATTAGAGGGTAAAAAGCATATTTGAGAATATAATTAGTTAACAAAGTTGTTCTATTGTTTGACCTATGTTGTCTTATAGTAATCACTAAGCACATTCAAAAAAAATCTCCTAATGAATAGTGTAGCTCTGAACCTCTTATTCATTCACATGACCTAGGAATGGACCTATGTTCCTATGCTTTTTGGTAATCGCACTGCATTATAGAAAATTTGAAAAAAAAAATGGTAAAAAGAGAAAAACACATTTAATTGACTAGAACTGGAATAAATTTAATTAATTATGAAACAAAAAGAAAGGTCACTTTCTATTACCTAAATAGAGTTATGCTATTTGATGCTTCTTTTTTCAGTACTGAAACAAGAAGAAATGTTGCAATGAGCTTCTCGAACGAACTTGATGATTGAAAGGGAAAAAAGTGAAAAGTAGAAGGCATTAGTCATAAGGAAAAAGGTTTTGTTGAGTAACTGAGAAGCGTGATTGAACGAATAGCTTTTACCTTTGCACACTTCAAACTACGTTGGGGTAATGTAACTTTCATAACTTTTCTGTACTTTTTTTTGTTTCACTTCTAGTGACTGTCTTCTTCTTCGGATGGATTCTATGCGTCGCATTGGTGCGAGAGAAAGGCCTCAACGCTCCCACCGATCCCTCAGTCTATTCATTTTCAAGTTTTACCATTGGATGCAATCACACTTTTTTTTTTCTTGTCCTTTCGCCCTCTCAATAAATGTTTATTATATATATATATATATATATATATATATATATATATATATATATATATATATATATATATACTTATAATTTATCTGTTAGATCAATAAAAATTATTTTTCATATTAAATTATTAACAATTCAAAAATAAATGTAACTTATATGTGTGTAAATTGATCATTTCTCTCTCTTTATGTGTATGTATATATATAAAAATATTCTAAGGTCAATATAAATCTAAAATTTCTTACACTTAATTTAATTTTTTTTAAAATTATGTGTAAGAATTTTTAGATTTAAGATTTACATTAATATTAGAATATTTTTTCCTATATATATATATATATATTAATTGATATATTAGTTAATAAATTTTTATAAAATATAAGATTGATTAATCTAACGGTTGATTTGAGAGCTTTTGAAAATGAGTTAAAAGTCGGATATTTTATATATTTGCAAATGTTTTATTTGTTCTTAAAAATTTAATACAAAAAATAAATTTTAAAATCTTTAGAATGAATTTAATTGATAAATCATTATTTACTATTAATAGATAAATATGTTATTATTCTTAATATTAATTGAAAAAATTTAAATATTGGTTAATAAATTATAATTTTTATTTAAATGAATAATAATTAACAAATTAAAAATTAATTAGATTAAATAATTTTTTTATTGGTCATCTTTTATCATTGAATTTAATTCAGATTTAAAGCCCGTGGAACAACTCTCAGATGGAGTCCTTCCTGATGGGCCGACTGAGTTTTAAAATATTTTGGGTACTGAGGAATGAAATAGAGAGATAGATTAAAAAATAACAATTGAGAGATAAAATAATAATAATAATCTTCGACAGTATAAGAAATATAGTAAAAATGATACATTCGAAGAGAACAAAAATATTCTTCAACTTATTTAGACGAGTGAAAAAGAGAATAAAATAAAAAACAAAGTTGTATTAAAGAATTATTTATAATATTCATAATTTTTTTACCGGTAATTAGAGACTTGTTTCATTTTATAAGGCATGGCACAATTAATGTGGTTGTGATGGATGTGAGTAGTGATTATATATAATGTTTACCCATGTGGCATACGTTCCAATGGCCCCCATTTTAAGCAGAGATCATGAGGTAGATTGAGTTTTCAAAAATAGATAGATACATACATTTAATGCATGCAATCATGCATCACCTTAGAACGTTTCTTCCATTGGTGCTTCCGGGACAAGGAGGCACCAGTGCTAACCTGTCTCCTCTCCTTTGGTTGTGTTCTTCCCAGAAAAACACAAGCAAGGGGTGTCTACTCTCTTTCTTTTGTGTCTTTCTTTTCCATCCTAACACATTAGGAAAGGGAAGAAATCAATGATGCCTTCAACATAACAAAAGGAGGATACACTTTCTGACATATATAAGAACGGTGCTGCCTATTGTGTTATTGATTTTGAAGATTGAAGCAAAATGGAAAACTCAATGGCACCACCGTTCAATATGTCAGATAGATCAATAATTTGCTATACGCCAACCATGACAACAACAAATGGTTTATGGCAGGGAGATAACCCTTTAGATTATTCCCTCCCTCTCTTCATCTTGCAATTAACGTTAGTTGTTTCCGCCACACGTTTCTTTGTTTTCATCCTCAAGCCATTCCACCAACCTCGTGTAATTTCTGAAATCATGGTAAGTTCATTTTTCTTCCAAATTCTATTTCCCTGCTCCAATTAGACAAATACTTTGAATAAATACAATCGAAACTTCTGTTTTCTGGGTTGAAATATATAATTGAACCATATGGCATAATGTATTAGTTTACAAATCTAATATATATATTAACGCTTATGATTTATAATCTTTTTTTATAATTGTTATTATTATCTACTATCAATAAGTTGTTCTTAAATAAGATCAAGAAACTATTAGACTTTTGTCATAATATTACAGATTTTGACTTTTGTGAGACATTGGTTTTGTTTATTCAAATATTTTAGAACATGATTTTAACTGGGTCGAATCATTTGATAATATTTGCAGGGAGGATTGCTATTAGGTCCATCGGTGGTTGGTAGAAGTGAAAAATTTGCAAATTCTGTATTTCCATTGAAAAGTGTGATGGTGATGGAGACAATGGCAAACATAGGCCTCATATACTTCCTTTTCCTAATAGGGTTAGAGATGGACATTTCAATTATCAAACGCGCTGGGAAAAGGACTGCATCCATAGCTGTTGCTGGTATGGTATTGCCCTTTTTGGTTGGTGTTTACTCCTCATCTTTCTTAGATGAAAAAGACGAGAACATGAACCATGGAAGCTATGCCCTCTATCTTGGTATTGTTCTATCTGTGACAGCATTCCCAGTGCTTGCTCGAATGCTAGCTGAGCTAAAGCTCATCAACACAGACCTTGGAAAACTTGCTGTTTCAACTTCTCTCGTCAATGACGTGTGTGCATGGATGTTAATGGCTCTAGCTATTGCTTTGACACAGCAAAATACTAGCACTTGGGCCTCTCTGTGGGTTGTACTATCAAATATTGTTTTTGTTTTGTTCTGCTTTCTTGTTGTTAGACCAGCAGTGAATTGGTTGATCAAGAGAACCCCAGAAGGAAAACACTTCAGTGACTTCCAAATATGCGTTGTGCTCCTTGGTGTTATGATCTCAGCCTTTGTCACAGATGTGCTTGGAACACATTCTATTTTTGGAGCTTTTGTATATGGGCTAGTGATTCCAACTGGCCCACTTGGAGCTGCCATAATAGAAAAGCTAGAAGACTTTGTTTCTGGGCTTTTGCTTCCTCTCTTTTATGCCACTAGTGGGCTTAAGACTGATATCAGCTTGATCAGTGGAGCTCGTGCATGGACATTTATACTCATGGTGATTCCTCTCACTTTTATAGGCAAGATTGTTGGAACTCTTGGTATTTCACTCCTTTTCCAGATACCAAACCGTGATGGTGTTGTTCTTGGTTTACTTATGAACACTAAAGGCCTTATTGAAATAATTGTGCTCAATGTTGGGAGAGAACAAAAGGTAAGCCACTCACGTCCTTTTGGTAAGATAATTATATTTATACTTAAACTTCCCTTAATGGATCAGCGAACAAATCTGAAATCAAATTTGTCTATGCAGGTCTTGAGTGACAAAATATTCTCAATTATGGTTATCATAACTCTCATAATGACAGCAATCGTTTCACCCATTGTGACATTAATTTATAAGCCGAGAAAAAGGCTCATACCTTACAAAAAGAGAACAGTGCAAAATTCAAGACTTGATGCAGAATTAAGGATGCTGGTGTGTATTCATGCCCCTAAAAATGTCCCCACAATAGTTAATCTCCTTGAAGCAACTTACCCTCACAAAAGGTCTCCAATATGTGCTTGTGTGCTCCACTTAGTTGAACTCACCGGTAGAGCTTCTGCCATGCTTGTTGTCCATGCTAACAGAGAATCAGGAGGCCCAGCGCTCAACAAAACACAAGCACAAACCGACCACATCATCACTGCATTTCAAAACTTTGAGGAACATGTAGGTCATGTCTCAGTCCAACCCTTGACAGCTATTTCCCCTTACTCTACCATGCATGAAGACATATGCAGTTTGGCAGAAGAGAAAAGGGTATCCATAGTCATCATTCCTTTCCATAAGCAGCAAGCAGTTGATGGAGAAATGAAAGACACAAATCCGGCTTTGAGAATGGTGAACCACAATTTATTACAGAATTCACCTTGCTCAGTTGGTATACTTGTGGATAGAGGCCTTAATGGATCCAACCGCTTAATTTCAAGTCAAGCATCTCACCAAGTGACTGTGTTATATTTTGGAGGACCAGATGATAGAGAAGCACTAGCTTATGGGTGGAGAATGTCAAGACATCCAAGGGTTCGCCTCACTGTCATGCATTTCATTCCAAGGGTGGATTTAACTGAGACTCAGGCTACAGATAAGTTTGATATAAGAGCAAACAGCATAAATAATTATATGGCTGAGAGCAAACTAGACGATGAATATATGAAAGAGTTCAAAATGGTGGCTGCAAAAGATTGCTCGGTTGTTTACATAGACAAGGTTGTGAGTAATGGAGAGGAAACAGTTTCGGCAATAAGATCAATGAACAATGCCAATGACTTGTTCATTGTTGGAAGAGGTCAAGGAGCAGCATCACCACTAACAGAAGGCCTAACAGATTGGAGTGAGTGCCCAGAGTTGGGAGCCATTGGTGATTTGCTAGCTTCTTCAGACTTTGAAACAACAGCTTCAGTGTTGGTGATGCATCAATATGTTGGGCAAGGGCCAGATGGGGAGGAAGTTTTTGCTTGTGAAAGACCATGGCAAACAAGCGAAATGTACGTTAACATGAAACAACAACAACAACATATGCAAAGATATACAGTGCCAATGGGAATGGGAAACTCTTTCTTATAATGTTTCCTTATTTGTGGTCATGTTGTCACATTAACCAAGACAAAACAACATTTGATAGGGACATGTAAATCTTTCCAAATGAGCACAACACCTGCTCTAGTTGAATAGAGGTTTCAGAAGGCAAAGCCTAACAACCACACTAGCAAAGGGCCATGACATGGAACCTTTGCGGGAGTGTCTCACTAGAGCCTACCCATTTGTTATAGTGCACTGATAAACGTGCATATACAACATATATGTTGTTGTAGTGTCTCACTAGTTTTTGGGCTGTTTGTTATGCCAAAATTGTAGGGGGAATTGTCCATTCGTGTAAGACATGAATTGAGAGAAAAGATCAGTGTAAAAAAGGATTTAATTGACATGTAACGATTAGTGTGAAGATTTTTTTAATACGTGAGAATCATTTATTTTGTAATAATCAATTAAAAAATTATATTCATTATATATTTTAATCCGTTGACAATATACATATTTTTACAAAAACAGCATAATAAAATTAAATGAACTAAATATTATAGTTTTATCTTTAACTTAATTTGCTATAGAATAAAGAAAATGATATCTTTGAATTTAACATTTGTCACTCAAATGTTAAGGCTATAATTAACTACTTCAAAATGAAATAAAGATCACAATGTGTGAGAAGTTTTTTTTTTTTCTTTTTAAATTATTTTATTGTTAACTTATGCGATGCCAGAACTAATTGTGCAATAAAATTTATTTAAACCATTGTGTATTTGTGTTTAACAATCACATATACAAACCAATCCGAAGGTAGCTCCTGACATGCATGTTAGTATAATCGTTGCTACTCTGCCAAAGATAAGAGTATGATGTTAAGAGATGATCTTAACAAATTTGTAAGGTGTAAGGGTCAATTAAAGTTGTGTAACATATATAGAAATTAAATTAAAATTTCGTGATAACAAAATAATCTCATTATAACAGACTCTAACGTTGAGGATTATTAAAAATTTATATATCGAGATATTAAATAAAAAAATTAAAAACCAAATTAACATTTTGTAGTACATGTAAAGATCAAATTCATATTTGAACTTTCTTTTTAATACCATCTTTTTATGTACATAAATCTCGAAATTAAATATTAGATGACTTCCTATACTTTTTTTTAATAACAAGTTACTTCCGATACTTAACCAAAACATGTTGATATTAATGTTACTTATATATGTGAAAGACTAAATCAATATAAAATTTCGTAAAACTGACCACATTCACATGATATATATATATATATATATATATATATATATATATAGTGAGAGATTAAAATGGGTTTTACTAAAAGAAATAATGTAAATATAGATGGGATTGCATTTGAATATAGTAATTTAGAATGCATGAGTTTTTTTTTTTTTTCCTCTTTTCCTTTTTAACCATATATTTACATCAAACATGTAACGAATGAAGTTTCATTTTATTAAAAAAAATGAGCATCAATATACAGCATATAAAAAACAGACATTTAAAATATTTTTCGGGCCCTTTTCATTATTTTTTGAACACCAAGAAGATTTTGATTTTTATAAATTTTGTTTTAAGTAATTCAAAAAAAGCTAAAAAGATTAGTTGGACACTTCTTTCTAAAATTTCTTTCACACTAATTTGAATTCTTTTACAATAATTATGAATTTCATTTTAGTCACTATATACATGTGTGTATTCTTCTGTAAGTCACAGTACAGTAAATAATAACAGACAAAAAAATTTCAAATCTCATTCATATAATATTCGTGCAGCAGAGATGGAAAACCAACACTACTTACCTGTTTGACAAAGACAATCAATTGACACCTTTAAAATTTTCTTGCTAAAATTTCGTTTATAGTAATTTGAATTATCTTAATATACTTATCAAATCAATAATTATAAATTTAGTTTTGATTGCTCGTATATGTTTTCTTCCGGGGCATATCCTTATCATTCTGGTAAATGACATTCAGAAAAACCAAATATCTTCGCGAGGAAGGGATGAGAAACCCACTTTGACTTCTTCTTTGTTTCTTTTTAACTTGACCTGTAATTAGGTTCCAAACTGCTTCAACTTCAAATCAAATGAGTTTTAAGTCAAAGCAAAACTTCACAACAGTAATACCCATTTTTATACTCCACTCTTCGTTGTCTCTGTTTAAAATTTTAACACCCTTTTTAGAAAGATTTTTTAAACATGTGCTAAATGATACCCGTTAAAAAAATACAGTAAAATTTTATTTAAAGTTAAAATATTTAATGTTATTCATATATTGAATTTTGTGATATTATATTATTTTTTTATAAAAAAATTACTATAACTAAGTTTTTATTGTGTTTTCTTTAAAACACATTAAAAAAAATTCTATTTATGAAATGAATAAATTATTTTCCTAAAAAGTAAATCAATATTTAAAAATATGTTATAACATTTTATGTTATTTATACATTGAATTTTGTAATATCATATTATTTTCAATAAAAACTTATCATATATAACTTCTTGTTATACGCTTAAAAAATGTTTAAATTTATGTGCTTATGAAATAATTAAATTATTTTCTAAAAAAATTAATTAATATTAAAACTATGTTTTAACGTTTAATGTTATTCACGTACTGAATTTTGTAATATCATTAATTTTAATAAAAAAGTTTACCCTGTATAAATTCTTATCATGTGATCTTAAATACACGTTGAAAAGATTGTTTAAAAGATTTTATTTATGAAATAATTAAATTGTATTCCTAAAAAACTGAATATTAAAAATATGTTGCAACAGACAATAGGATAGGAGCATGAGTCTATGACATCAAATTTCGGGATTTTCTGCAACTTAGATTAGACACAAGAAAGAATCATGAAATGTTAATTAGCACATTTTTCATTAATGAAAATAAACTTTTGAAGATCGTTACTGAAAACTAAAAAAGCATATAAAAAACCATAAATTTAATTTAAGAATGAGAAAGAATTAGATACACATTATTTTATAAATTTAAATAAATTTTAGCCAAAACATTGTGCTAGCATTATTCTTATTTTTTCTTCACACGGCACTAATTCTGGTAAGAAACAAACGTCTGTTTCAGATTTCGAATCTTTTTAAGAAGTTGCTTCTGAATGCCGGGGCTGTTTCAAAATCTTAGGCGTCACAAAGTTTCTGTTCTTCACGTACTTCTAACTTGTAATTCGGTTCAAGAGGCACGTCTGGTTTAGCTTGTATTTCTTCATTCATGTATGATGCCTCTCTTTTTCTTTATTTTTGTACAATTTCAATCAAACGGTGGTTGAAGTATCTCCTTGAGAATGTTTGATGAAAGGAATATACAGATTTGGTAACTGAATAATTTATTGACCAGTTTAGTGTTATGATGAATTGCTTCTTGCAGCGGAATAGTTATGACTATTTCTGATGAAAATGAAGCACCAACAAGGTTGGAGGTCTGTTATTGTTATTTTTATTCCTTTTTCATCCATGGCTATTTCTCTACCTACAAAATAATTGGATTAATTTATCACAAGCAGGGGAAATTCAAAGCAACCGTAGTGTGTTTCATTCTTGGACTCGGGTCTCTTGTTGCATGGAACAGCATGTTGACAGTAGGAGATTACTACTATAAATTGTTCCCCGTAAGTAAGACTTCTTCTGTTTCCAATGATTTTATTCTTCTTTCTGTATTGTCTAACACGTTTTTTGCTATAGAGATACCATCCTTCGCGAGTACTCACCATTGTTTATCAGCCATTTGCACTTGTAACAATGCTAATACTGGCACATAATGAGTCAAGGATCAACACTAGGATGCGGAATTTAATTGGCTACACTCTTTTCTTCGCTGGTACTTTGCTGGTTCTTGTGGTAACTACAACTTCTCCAATTCAATGATTTCTTTTGTTTAGAAAAGATGTAACCTATGATCTCTATACCCCTTAAGATTTGCTACATCTAATTTATTTAATTTTGTCTAATCTGCTACTTTGTTTACAATAGCTTCAGAATATTTGGTGTAACAGTTAGATGTAGCAACATCAGGGAAAGGAGGAATCGGACATTATATTGGTTTGTGTGCACTGTCTGCTTGTTTTGGAGTTGCGGACGCTCATGTCCAAGGTGGCATGGTTGGAGACATGTCTTTTATGTGCCCTGAGTTCATCCAGGTTGCCCTTCCCCATAATTTCTTTACTGCTCCTTTGTTCCATATTTGAGAAAAAATTTGGATTTTCTGGCGTTGATAAGTAACATGATATGGTCAAATTGAAGAGAGAAAGCCATAATTTTTATTATACAAGGACTCACCTTTAATTAAAGTGGATAAGCATTGTGTCCTCTTTTCAAAATGATCGAATCATGTAACATCTTTACTTCGGGCCAGGGTATCGTGTCTTGAAGTTTGGTCTAATCATACAAATTCAATGTTTCTGCAGTCCTTCCTTGCTGGTTTGGCTGCATCAGGAGCTCTAGCCTCTGGTTTGAGACTTCTCAGCAAAGTGGCTTTTGAGAAATTTGATGATGGTCTTCGAAAAGGAGCTAGTATGTTACTCTTGCTCATTAATGGACACATGCATCAGTTTTACTCTCATTGTTTTAAATTCTGGCAGTTTTATACAGCATAGTAAATAGGCTTGGTAATCACCAATCAACTTTAAAAGCTGCTATTCTCTTATACAAGATTGGTTACTTCCTCATTTTGCAGTTCTATTCTTTGCAATCTCTACATTTTTTGAGTTTCTGTGCATTATTCTCTATGCAATCTACTTCCCTAAGTTGTCCATAGTGAAGTATTACCGTTCAAAGGCAGCCTTAGAAGGATCAAAAACTGTATCAGCTGATCTTGCAGCTGCTGGCATTCAAAACAAGACCAAACTGCAAGTAATGTTTCTTGTGCTAAACTGAATATACTCTAAGCTCCAGGAGGAAAGTATGTTTCAATAGCATGTAAAATTTTTGGAACAATTGCAGGTTGGATTTGATGCTAAACAACTAGAAAGGTTGAGCAACAAACAGCTACTTCTTCAAAACATTGATTATGCAGCTGATTTGTTTCTGATATATGTGTTAACTCTATCAATCTTCCCTGGATTCTTGTATGAAAATACTGGATCACACCAACTAGGAACATGGTAAAGCTTACAAGTTCACAATCTTTTTGTCAACTAAGTGCCTTTTCACGTGACACATTATGTTCTTTTTAGGTACCCACTTGTTTTGATTGCTATGTACAACATCTTGGATCTAATATCTAGATATATTCCCCTCATCAAATACCTGAAGTTGGAGTCCAGAAAGGGCATACTCATTGCAGTTCTTTCTAGATTCTTACTGATCCCAGGATTTTATTTCACGGCTAAATATGGGGCCCAGGGGTGGATGATCCTGCTTGTGTCTTTCTTAGGACTAACCAACGGCTATCTCACTGTTTGTGTACTTACTGTGGCACCCAAAGGTTACAAGGTCAATTTTTTAGCACTCTTGCTATTCAATTATTCATGAATTATAGCATGTGCAATGTGTATCATTGGTCCCATTGCTCATCATGGCTTTTTGGTTTTGTAGGGTCCTGAACAAAATGCATTAGGTAATTTGCTTGTGCTGTTTCTATTGTTCGGCATATTTGTTGGGGTTGCTCTTGATTGGTTGTGGCTCATCGGAAAATCAGGATTCTAATATGAATCTACAAGTGTATACACACAAAGTTTAGACGATTTCTCTTTGCTTAAGCTTGTTTCTTAAACTTCCATCTTTCAGTCATGTTCTACATATGAAGAAAATCATTGATTATTACAAACATGTTTTCTATGTTTACTAATTAGAGACGTCAATCACAGGCAAATTATGCCCCCATTTAGAAATTTGGAACTTGCTGTCTTCTACTATAATAGCAGCAGAAACAGAACGGCCTTTTATGGAATTAAGAAACTTTCCTTACGTTACAAGGATTTTTTAAAAAAAATAAGTAAATATTTAAAAATTATATTATTATAAAATTTGGTGAAATAATGTATTTTAGATAAAAAAAATAAAGGATATTAATAAATATTTTCATTTTAAACAAGATTTTATTTTACTATATAGAAATAAATTAAATATTTTTTTGTTAAAAATTGTTGAAAAAAATATTAAAATAAAATCAAAACGACAACATAGGAAAATCGAGATTCTAAAATGATACTATACGTTTATATACTAAAATTTTAAATTTCTCATTGGTTAAGATTGTATCTGATATACCCTAATTAGTGCTTTCATCTTTGAGTCATGCTCTACACAGAAAAAATAATAATAAAAATATTGAATATAACATACAATGTTTTCTATGTTTACTGTTAGCCACGCGGAAATTATGCCATCATTTATAAATTTGAAACTTACTACGATCTATTTAAAAAACCTTATTTATAAAGTCGTGTTTAGAATTTTTGAGATTTTAAGTAAAATTATTAGAAAAAATTAATATGATATAAATTATTAATTTTTACATATTTTAAAAATTATTAATCAAAATGTTATAATTAAAATTTAAATTTTTTAAATATATAATACTTATATTGATTATTATCATACATTTTTAAATAAGTAAAAAAAATTCTTAAATAATTAACGTGTGTGTAATATGTATATTTTAAAATAAATTTTCAACATGTATCTAAAGACATAATAAAAGTTTATATATAATAAACTTTTATTAAAAATCACAGATATAATGATAAAATTTTTATTTTAAAAAGTATTTATTGGGTTATAAATATAAATTCATTTAATTTCTTAATATTTTTTTCACTTTTGTTTCCATGATAATAAAACTCTTTTCTATTATTATTATTGCAAATGCTAACTGATATCAATTTAAAAATTAAAAGTAAAAGAATTTTTAATACATTTCTACCATAATTTTAAATATATTCTTATCATGATATGTTTTTTAATAACTTCATTATATAAAGGGCCTTTCTATTACAGGCACACAATATTTTACTTTGTGTACGAAGTTCATCTCTTAAATATTAATTAGTGGCTATTATCTTAAAGATAAACAGGGGCATAACCTCTTTTAATAAATGTCTTTTTCATATACACGTTCAGGAATTAAACTCCTGCCACCCTACTTAAAGGATACCTACCAATTATGTGAAACTTTGTTATACTTTAGGCACACAATACTTTAAACTGTTAAAAAAATAAGCATTAAGAAACGTTTGTATTTACAACACAATATGTTCTTTTCCTTCCTATCATATTTCTATAGTCAAACATTTAAAAACACTAATTAGTTTAAATTTATTGGATTAAAATTTCAGACATTGAATTAATGTCATAAACTAATAAGATGGATAAAACCAAATTTTAAGAGTCAATTTGTTACAAATTGAATAATAATAATAATAAAGCATAAATTTTATTGAGAAAATATAAAATATAACTATATTAAAGTTCAAAATTTTTATCCTTTAATTATTGAAAAGTATAAATTTTACATTTTTAAGTTTAAATTTCAATAAAATGACCTAAAAAATTAATTTTAAACTAACATAATAATAATAATAATTTTATTTGATTAAATGGTTCTTTAATTTTCATTCCAAAATTCTTAAAAAAGTTTCTGATTTTAAAAAGATGAAACCATAATTATGAATATTCAATTTTCATCGGCTTAATTTTATGTTATTGTAATTTTATTTAAACAATTTGTCTAAATCTCTTAGACTTGATATAGTGACCTGATTCTAAAATACTAGAAACTTGTTCGAGTATTACACAAGTATTTTTAAGTTTAAATGAAAATAGATTAAAAACAATAAATATATTTTTATATTAAATAATAATAAATAATAAATAATAAATAATACTTTCAAATTAAGAAAAAATTATTAAAATATGACACATCCTTTTTATTGATATGATAGATCAAAACTTAAACTCTAAAAATTAATTAAATTATGATTATTTAGTATTATGATAATCTTAAGGATTATCTAGAAAAAATATTTTCAATTCAATGCAGTAAAATTTGAAATTTAAGTCTAAATAAAGTAAGAAATACAATTAAAAAATGAATAAAAGAATATTGAAGGAAAATAAAGTAATTAAAGCACAAAATTAAAAATGAATTAACTAATTTGTTTAAGAAAAAAAGAAAGAAAGAAAAAGCAAATATCATGCCGTAAAGGGAGAGTGTAGTTGCCTACTCGCGTGTTTGAAAAAGACAGAGCACGTACAGCAACACAGAGTATTTCCCATTTGATGGTAGAAAAAAAGGTTACAGGCCAACGTAGAGCAGAGAATAAGGACTCCAAAGTACGGTTTGCTTCAGAAGAACGAAACTCTCACTCTGCCCCGGAATTTCTCTTCTCTTCTCTTCTCTGCCTCTGCCTCTACAGCTTGCAGTCAAAATACAAAAATCTTCTGGTAATTTCTAAATCTCATCATTCCTTTGTTAATATACTCATTACTTAGCTTTTGTAAATGGATTACTCTTTAGTACCGTCATGTGATGCTTGCGCGTAACGTCGTTTTTGTGACTTTGGAACCACCGCATCACAAGTTTATGCGATTTTGCTCATAAAAAATTTCTCAATATCAATTCTTTCAGTATTCATTTTATGAAGATTTAGAACAAACACTATGTTTGAATTTAAAAAATTAGAGAGGAGCGATTGAAGAAAAATTTACCATATTTTTGGATTGAGAAGGATTATAGGTGGGAGAAAATCCTTCCCGAAATTTTTGTTCCATCTGTTGGTAGAAATATGTTGTTATCAATTTTGTCTTTGCATTATGTGGTCAACGTGTGGACTGTGGAGCCACTTTTCTCTCAATTTGGCGCATGAATTTTGGACTACACGTTTTGGCTAATCATCAGAAGTCATTATCCAGTGTATAATGACTTAAACGTATATAATTTGTGTTGACGGAATGGATGTATAATATACACATTATAAGAAAAATATCATAAACGAAAAAGGTTTGTGTTGACTCTAACATCCATCCATCAGTTAAAAAATAAAAATCTCAAAAAAGTTATGAGCGGAAGTATTTATTTTAACCTGTTTATAATTGAGAATAAATAAGATTAGGTGATAAAATAAATAAAATTTTAAAACATATATACATAATAATGAAATGACAAAAAAATAATAATAAACATGAAAATTACAAATATAAGTTTATCTTTTTAATATAGTTTGGTCAATACTTTTAGGTTATAATTAAAAAAATGTAAAACAATTTACAGTAATTTTTTAAATAGTTACAAGACTTAAAATTAAATTATACCAAAAGATGTGAGAGCTTTGAAAAAAACATGTGAGAGCGGATACTACCACTATAGATCATAGCTAAGTTTTCTTCTTCTTTTTTTATTTATTCATTTAAAAAAAGGAGCTAAAAAATTGCGTGACTTGTAATGCATTCATACAATTTGGGGGGAATTTGTGTAAAATTTATGAAATGAAAGGCATTTTATGTAATGAAGCAAAACTTGCAATTAATTAATGATGGTATTTTAATTTGTGTTTGTTCAATACTACAAAATTCTTTTTTTAATGATTGACTGATAGCAATCTTATTGAGTGAACTTGAACTTAAGCATAGCATAGATATAAAATATGGAGAATTTTGTCTAGTTTTTTTTTTTTTTAAATAATATTGTGTAACTAACACAAAATTAATCAAGGGTTATAATACTTTATTCAAAATATATTAATGTCAATCTTTGGGTTTTGTTATGGAAAATAACTCAAAAGGTGTATGCATTGTAAAAAAATATCTTATTCTTTTATAAATAATTATCATTATTTTTTTTTTCAAAATACATATGTTGCTTGAAAAGATTTCAATTATTTTTATTCTTTTTTGCGATGAAGTATACGAATAAAAATATATCCAGTGATAAATTAAAAAAGTCCGTGTTTTTATACAAATTAAAAATGAATAAAATTTTAGTTACATACTTCACACATTAAGGACTTCTTTGTTTTATATAAGAATCAATTCTCCATAAAATGATACGTAAGATTAAGTTAATCATTGAGTTTTCCTCGTGGTTTTTATTGAAAGGACTAAATTAATCAGTTAACCGGTTCAATATCGTGATCAAAAGGGCTAAGTTATGGTGCCAGCCGCGTAGGTTATCCCTGTGATTATTTTATTAATTATAGAACTCAAAATCCAATGATTAAGGACAGATTGATTAAGGAAGATGGTGATTGGCGGAGAAACAAGATCTGAGCTTAAGCACATTACAAGGTTGTTCTGTGCAATTCCAAATAGCAATATATGACCGACATTATCACATGGAAATGAAACATCAAATAATTAAATCTTCACAACATTGCCTTCAGTCTCGCTAATCCATCCTCGTCATTTAACGTGGCAACTATTAGTAGGTGAATGATCCAAGTTCTATTTTGTTTTTCTCATTCTAATTCATCTTGGCCTTTAAATCTTCTGTCAACTTCTTTTTTGTAGACCATGTGGTCAGAATTCACTTAATTCATATTTTATATCAAGTCACTGGTGTGAAATGGATAAAAGCATAAAATCACAATGTGTTTGGTCAATACAGTGAGTTTTTCCAAATCTTTGTGTTCACTTTTGACAGTGGATTTTGGTGACTTAAGGATCATGACATGAGTTGTGGATGTTTTTGTCTTAATATGAGCAGCAGCAAGCATATAGATGTGCTTGTTGAACAATTGTTCATTCATCCATTTTCATAACCAATTGAAGTGGGTAGCATAGAGCCCACTGCACCTCTGCATAAAACGTACTAGTGTAAGTGATGTTTCAGAAAATAATGTGAGATATTATTTGGGTGTATTTGAGATATGGGTTGTAACTGCGGTGATCTAAACTTGGATACCCATTATTTTTCCCTACTTTATTTGTGCTGGTATTTTTATTTTGGGTCCATCACTTCCCATTGTAGGCATCTGTTATTCAATCTCATTTTCAAAAGTAACAAAATAGCCAGTGCAGGCATGCAGCAAAATAAATAGGGGGAAGCATATAATTTAAGTTCTTCATACCTGAAGATTTAAATTGCAGAGATAGTTTTGTATTTGTTCATCTATACTTGTTCTCTATCTCTAATTTATTCACAGAATTTTATTCTAGTCTTTAATCAACACATTTTTATGCAAGGACTCAAATTTCTGTGAACTAATAGATATAGTAGCTAAATATTGATTATCCTCAACTGTTTTTCTTGTAAGTGGAATGGCCATGGTTGCCAGTGATGACAGTGCAGGGCCAAGAAAGCCCGAGGTAAGTGCTAGTCTTATTTTCCATTGAAGAAATGATTTCTAACATGCACAGTTGTAATATTTCTCAATAATGAAATTTGTTAACCTGTTTGTATGTTTTCAATCGGTTAATGCAACCAGGGAAAACACAAAGCAATGGCAGTTTGTTTCATTCTGGGACTCGGGTCCCTTGTTTCCTGGAACAGCATGTTGACAATAGGGGATTATTATTACCAACTGTTCCCCGTAAGTAATTCATGGTGCTTTCAGTTTCTGATAAAACTTGACATCATTGTACAAATTTTTTTCTCATGATTAAATGCTTGTCCTACAAAGATGGAGAAATAGAAAATTGCTATTTGCAATTGACCAAGACTTCCTCAAATATGACTTGAATAACTCATTCTAAAGAAGCTTTCTTTCCGCTATGCAGAAATATCATCCTGCAAGGGTACTTACCTTGGTCTATCAACCATTTGCAATTGGAACAATGATAATACTGGCATACTACGAGTCAAAGATCAATACTAGAATGAGGAATTTGGCTGGATTTACTCTTTTCTTTGCTAGTACTTTCCTTGTTCTTGTTGTAAGTATACCACTTCCAATTCCATAATATTTGCAGCATATGATTTTTGTAATTCCATACATGACCTATTTTCCTCGGCTCATAAAGCTTCAACAATCCGTTGTGGCAGTTGGATCTAGCAACATCAGGAAAAGGTGGCATTGGACCTTATATTGGTATATGTGTGTTGGCTGCTTGTTTTGGAATAGCAGATGCTCATGTTGAAGGTGGCATGGTAGGAGACCTGTGTTTTATGTGCCCTGAGTTTATGCAGGTTAGTCTTTCGTATAATTTATTCAATATTTTTCAGTGTTAACCTTTTTCACTTATAATTCTTGTGTGTGTGTGTGTGTTTGGAGGAAGTTGCAGGTTGGGATTTTCTTCTTTCTTCTCTTGCCTAAATAATGCATGATGTTAATGTTATGCAGTCCTATCTTGCTGGTTTGGCTGCATCAGGGGCTCTAATTTCTGTTCTGAGAATTCTGACCAAGGCGGCTTTTGATAGAGCTCATGATGGACTTCGCAAGGGAGCCAGTATGTTATTCTTATTTTTTAAATGTTCATATATAATGGTTTCTTATATTTGTCTTGATGATTGATCTTGTTAGAATATTATGTTTTGGTATAATATAGAGAACTGCTTTCTTATATTGTTAAATTTTCTAGCATTTCTTTCTGTCAATTGTCAATCAGTATATGGTCCCTTGGGCAGTAGAAGTTGTTCCCTTTAATATAAAAGGGTTGCTTTCTTATTTTTGCAGTTCTATTCTTGGCAATCTCCACCTTCATTGAGTTTCTTTGCATTATCCTGTATGCAATCTACTTCACCAATTTGCCCATAGTGAAATATTACCGTTCAAAAGCAGCCTCAGAGGGATCAAAAACTGTTTCAGCTGACCTGGCTGCAGCTGGCATTCAAACAATGACTAATGATCAAGTAATATAATTATGCTAAGACAGTGATTCTTGACTACAGTGGAAATAATATTTTTGGCTCAATTTCACTTTTGCTTCCTTTTGTTTGGTCAAAGTGAAATTTTGGTCTTCAATTTTTTTTTAGACAATTAAGTCCTCATTTTCAAAATCAAATAAATTTGGCCCCTCCATAAGTTTTCATTTAAAGTATTTGGAGGTTTATGATGAATTTAGGATATAGAATGATTTAAAAAATTTTTAAGTAAAAAATTTAGTGGGAATTTAACAAAACGTGAAGGGTATTGTAGGTATGACGTCAGAGTTTGAAGAGAGAAAATTTTGAGATTCTTTTTTATATGAAATGTGATGTTTTTATAGGTGAATTTTGAGTAGAAGGTAGTTTAAAACAATTTAACAAGCCAACTTGTGAAGATTGTGAGTAGACCATGAGAATTTGAGAGTTTTACTTAAATTTTTTTATCAAGGGACCAAATTTACTTAATTTTAAAAATATAAGAATTTAATTACCTTAAACCTGACTAAAATTTCACATAACCAAACTAAAAGAACCAAAATTGTAATTAAGTTCTTTTTATTATATTCTGAAATTATTGTTTCGAACTTTTGTAGGGTGGATATAACACACAAAAGCGGTTGAGCAACAAACAATTATTTCATGAGAACCTTGATTATGCAGTTGACTTATTTTTTATATATGCGTTAACACTGTCAATCTTTCCTGGATTTTTGTATGAAAATACTGGAACACACCAGTTAGGCTCATGGTAAGTGCTTATTTATGCTTATTCTTCTTTTATCCGATTGCCTTTGGAAATGATACATAATTTTAGTTTGTAGATTTGCAAAGATTTCGACCAAACATTCTCTACTTAACATAATTAGAATGTATATATAACATCCCTATCCCCAAGAAACAAAAAAGAAAAATAAGCATATGCTTTAATATGTGACATGAACATGGCCTAGAAACAAAGGTAGTTTATTTGGGAGTGGTGATCTTTGCAGGTACCCAGTTGTTTTGGTTGCTGTGTATAATGTCGTTGATCTCATGGCTAGATATATTCCCCTTGTGCAATGGCTGAAGTTGGAATCCAGAAAGGCTCTACTAATAGCAACCCTTTCTCGATTCTTGCTGATCCCAGCATTTTACTTTACAGCAAAGTATGGTGACCAAGGATGGATGATCCTGCTTGTGGCATTTCTGGGACTCACCAATGGCTATCTCACTGTTTGTGTTCTGACGGTGGCACCAAGAGGTTACAAGGCAAGTTCACCTGACTCACAATTCATAACATGGATGTCAAACTAATGGGTTTCTTTGGTGTGCACTTGAACTACAAGTTCGTATGCATTTATTAACTTTTGTTAAATAATCTTAATTAGTATTTACATAAGGAAGAAACTATAAGTATTTTAAGTATACTTAATTTCTTCCTTAAGTAAATAATTAACATTTTAAATTGCACCACCTGCAGTCCTTTTTTAAAACAAGGTGATGCAGGGCCATAACAGTATAACCCCTGAACAAAATTTTAAAATAAAAGAATTTAAGTGTCTCTGAGGCATTTGTTGAGAAGATGGGATATAAGAATACACTCTGATATACTTTTTAATAACATGCCTTTTGTTATTGATTGAAAATTTTTAAAAGTTACAAAAAACAATCATTAAATTAAAAATGAAACTTAAATTTTTATATTTTTTAATAAATTTTAGTCAATAATAAAAAATATATTTAAATAATTTAATAAAAAATACGTTGCTAACTTTTTTTTCATATTCAAAAATAGGAAATACTATCTAAAAACTTTGGAGTTTGGTGTTGTTGCAGGGTCCAGAGCAGAATGCTTTGGGCAATTTGCTTGTCCTGTGCCTTTTATGCGGCATATGTGCGGGGGCCGTTCTTGACTGGTTGTGGCTCGTAGGAAAAGGATCTTTCTGAAGATACACCACCAATTGTATATTCATTGTTATTGATGAACCTCAGTCAGTTCCTTTATTTTGTGCATTGAATCTTCATAAATCAATCAAAGTATATCTAAATTTTACTCTCATTCATACTCTCTTGGTAGCAGATCTGTCTCTTGAGAATGGTGTGCATCAATTTAAATGAATGCTTTTTATAAACAAATTGGCAAGTGTCCTAAATCGTTTGCGATAACCAAATAGATTTTAATAAAATAGATTTTATAGTCTATTGGGATTAATATTAAGTACCAAATAATAGAAATATTAGTAGTTGGGTATTCATAAGCAAGTGTATCTATCAAAAAGTAATAAAGGGTTATCGAATTAAGAGTTTTTAAGTTATTGTCTTACAAAAGATTATTTTTAAGTATAAAAAATAACTTAATTTGATTGTTTAAACATAACAAGATTGTAACAGATAAAAAATAGAGTTTAATTTTAACAATAAATTAAAATAACAGTAATAAAATGTATGAGAGAAATCAGATGAGATGAGCCTAGGATTTATGGGTTTATCTACTATACTTCTTTATATTCTAATTAATTTAATCCTGATATTGGTATTTAAATATTTGCTAACCACTCATAATTAGTTCTATTAATATCTAATGATTATGCAATATTAATATTCTTTTTCCTGAACAAATACCTTCAATGATCATGCAAGGTAATTAGTCGAAAAAGTATGAAGATTCTATGAGTTTATTAATTCGGCTGAAAGAAAGGAATTAAGTGTGATTAACCTAACCCTTTATCTCGTTTTATCTTATAGTTCTGTTAATTACAAGTGGTACGATCGCCTACAATACAACTAACTATGGGATGCGAAGGGTGATCAAATCTTAACATACACAATACAATCTAATAGAATAAAACCAAACATTAAAGGAAAACCAATACCAAAATTAAAGTAAAAATCACATAAAGTTTGTAGTATAATCCGTTATAACCCTAGCTATGGGTTTAGTTACTCAACAAAATAAACTACGAAGAACGTGATAAATAAACTCATAATTACAAAGAAAAACTCAAATAAAAGAAACTCAGAAAGATAGAAGACGAAGAGAGTTCTCGTTTTTCGAAGGAGCGTTCAATCACTTGCTTGGACTCCAAAGGGAAACTCGTCGTCCTTGCCAATAGTCTTCAATGACTCTCAAGGATGAATTTGGATAGAACTAAGAAGGAGAAGAAGGTGTATAGAAAAGTGAAAGTTTCAAGTGTAGAGCATAAGGCCTCTTTATATAGACTGTGCCTTGAGTTTCCAATTGATTGAACTCTATTTTTTTAAATCAGTTTTATCCATAATCAGAATCTTAACTGAAAACTGCTCCAAATCTTTATCTAAGTTTAAATTTTAAATTCAAAATTCAAACTTAGATTCACATAGCACAACAAGGATTAAAAGTATCTAATTTTTCTCCAGAATATCTTCATAATACTAATAACAACTTTCAGCTAAACTACAACAATTAATAACATAATTAGTATAAATATATATAAAATAGAGTTTAAGTGTATAAATATAAGTCATAAAATATATCAAAATATGAACTTATCATTGAGTCGTAAAACAGAATGAGAATGTAAATAGGTATTTTAGATAATGAACAGAATGTAAAAATGAAGCGTAAGTGCTGGAAAATTTAATTAACAATAAGAGTAAAAATTCATATGTAAGGGATTGAATATAAATGAAATTAAACTGCAGAATGCAACTAAGTAAGAGAATGAAAATGAGTTTTAAATTAACTAAGAAGTGGGTTGAGTTCAGAATCTCTTAATTTTTACTATTTGCATAAAAAAAAATATAATCCAATTTACAATATAATTTAATAGCCAGATTTTTTACAGTACCCAATACCAATTCCTTAGTTTATTGGTTTTAAACTAATAGATTCACAATTCCTTAGATAACCAAAAAGATGATCAGCATTAAATTTAGAAACCAACAAGACCATATCACTATAAATTCCTATTTCTAGATAATTCATAATGAGCAATTTAATTTTAATCCAAAAAAGATTACAACTTTCTAGTTATAAACTTCTTTTTATCAACCCTGAGTTATAATCAATGTTCAGTTTATTGCAATAGACAAAAGATTAAGTTTATCCTTTCTCAATCTCAATAAAATAAGCAAGACATAGTGAAAATAAGGAAGAAGAAACAAAAATATATTGCAAAAATAAACTTTATGTTCAACTTGAAGCAAATTACAAGTAGAATGTAAATGTAAGAATATTGTTCCATTAAAGAGTAAAAGGAATGGAGGGATGTAGCCCTACTTTCTATCAAAATCTCATACAAAAGCAAAACAAAAATGGAATGAAAGTTATCCGTACATAAGAATGTACGAAAAACCTAGAATTTTATGTCTGAAGAATGTAATAAAAGACGCCGCCTTTAGCAAAAAAAAATATTTTTATATGCTCTGTCAAGATTGTGTCTCCACAATCAAATATGTGTGTGTCCACAAATATGTCCTGTAGTAATTCAACTTTTTTTTTTAGATCTAATTGCAATTTCTCTTTCGAACCCTTCAAAAACCAATTGCAAACTATTAATAATTGAACAATTCATTGCATTCAAAGTAGTAGCATCTTTCAATTAAATATTTCAATTAAATGCATTAATCTTTTATTATTTACTCAATGAAATATGCTATAAGTGTTTAGTTTACTACATGAGTCAATGACTCATCAATTTTAATTGTTAATAGTTCTAACGTCACATGTATGATATTATTTTCATACACATTGTATCATAACACAAATCATGCTAAATTGAAATTTCCTTGGCTTCAACCCCCTTGACGTTGCTTAAATATTTTAACTTAAGTAAGATAGCAAAAATGAAATTCCTTTATCTTTAACTTGTTGTTGGGATTTTTGCAAGTATTTTCTAAGTTTTTGTTTTAATAAAGGGTAGGAGTTGTCATATCTATATGATTGAAAGATATATAATTAATTTATATTATCCTACTTAAAACTTTAAATCAGAAGACGAATCAATGTTTGCACAATTTGTTTATGGGTTAAAAATGCAATCATATAAGAACCAAAGTTAATTTAAATATAAAATATTATAAGTTAAGCTGAGATTGGATTTCATCATTCTTCTCTTCTATATTTTGATGAATAAACATTTAGGCATGAACTTATAAATATAAATGCATTTTTCTTCTCTCATACTCAACTTCTCCGTTTCTCTCCCAACTCTTCCTTCTTTTTTTTTTCACTCTCACCCCACATCATACTTATATGTCTCTCTTTGTTCCATACCCAACTCTGCACCCTTCTCTCCCTCCACCACTACCCCTATACCAACACTCTCTTTATCTCTATCTATCCTCAATCTTGTTTCCCCCCCCCCCTCACACCTATCTTCCATCTCCTCAAATGCACAAATTTTACTTAAGCCAAAATAATTCATTTAAATGAATCTGCAAAATTTGCTTAAACAAAAATTTGCTTTAGCTAATTTTGCATAAATTTTTTTATCATTTTTTGTATTTTTATTTAAGTGAGTCCATTTTCGTTTAAGCGAAAATGAAATTGGATATCCAATTCCTATGTTAATTGGACTGGGTCTAGATCCGTTTATGATAGCATAATATTTTTTAAAAGGATATTAATTAAAGAATTGATAATTAAAAAATACTTCATCAATCAAATTAAATATAAAAATAAATACAACATATTTTGATTGGAATGGGAAATTACTAAATATTATTAAATACATAAAACATATAATTATGTTTATTCGTCAATCATCACTGTTTCTTTTTTCAAATTTCAATATATATTATACAAAATATAAGAAAGGACAATTTTTTAAAATGTCTTTTACAAGTTTTACTTTTTAAAAAAAATTGTGAAAACACATTTATCCTAGACGATTGATTGAGGAGCGACTATTAGAAAGACTTTATTCATATAACTTGTATAATAAGATTTAAATTTTATAAATTTATATTACAAGGTTAATTTTTTTTCTTATTTAAAATAAGTTTTTCTTTTTAAATTTTCAATTTCATTTTTTTATATACTTAACCTTACACGTTAAAAATAATCCCGTCTAATCTTATGTTGAGAGTCTTTGTATCATTTCGACGCATAACAAAAGCTTAATGAACAAAGTAATATGTTAAAACTCCAATCTGTATCCTTAGCTTATTCTATCGTATCACGTGTAATTCAAGATTCAGAACAAGATCTTATTGTGTTAATAAAATGCCATCCCTGCTTGACGTAATAGTTTAAAATCATTAGGAACTCTTGAGCCGTTATATATATATCCGTTATATATATATATATATATATATATATATCATGCAATGATGGAAATAACGTTCTGGAGTAAAAACATTTGTTTGGCACAAATGACAAAATGAGAAAACATGAAGCACTAATTAGCATCCCACACGAAAAGCTAGACACACATATAAAAAGAAAAAACTCGTTAAAATATTATTTTATATAAAAAAGATAAATTCTTTTTGGAGTGAACATGTAATCTATGCGATATTATGTTTATTAATTTATATGTAAAGAATTTTTAAAAAATTTAAATTAATCAAGTTTATGTACTTATAAATAAAAAAAACATTTAAATAAGAATTATTTTTTAAACTTTATTATACAAATTTAATATTAGTTTTTATTAACAAATAAATATGAAAATTTTAAATAATTTCAACATTAAAATTCTCTAATATAAACTTTACTTAAAACCTGAATTATCTTTTCTTTCTTGGGTCAACAAATCTCAAATATCTTTGCATGGATCAAAAGGGTGGAAAGGTAGGAATAATGTTCCGAGAAAATGACATTTGTTTGGCGCGAATGACACATTTAGAGAACATGAGCAAACGTTAGACCACACGACTCGACTGATCCATTCTTCTACGTTACCAAACCTAAGGTAATAAGGTTGGTTCAAACAAGAGCCCAATACGCTTTATTTTTTGAGATA